AACCCGATACCTCCCTAGTAATGCGACTTTTAGCCTAGCAACCGACCGCCGTGACTAAGGACAGGGCAATATGGAAGGTATTCGGCACCAAGGACAGGACAATATGGAAGGTATTCAGCACAAAGGACAGGACAATATGGAAGGTATTCAGCACCAAGGACAGGACAATATGGAAGGTATTCAGCATCAAGGACAGGGCAATATGGAAGGTATTCAGCACCAAGGACAGGGCAACATGGAAGGTATTCAGCACCAAGGACAGGGCAACATGGAAGGTATTCAGCACCAAGGACAGGACAATATGGAAGGTATTAAGTACTACAAGCAGGATAGGAGGCACTAGAGGCAGGCTAGAATGAGTGGATTTTTGTGTGAGGTACAAGGTTCAGATGGCATTCAGCACCAAGGGCAGGACTGAATGTGCACCACAGAAGATGTTTTAGGCAGGTTAGGATAAATGAAATTCTGTGTTAAGTACAAGATACAGCACTACTAACAGTAGACAGCATTCAGTACCAAGGACAGGACCATATGGAAGCAAATAGCATGACTACCAGAAAACTAGGGGCAGAATTTACCACCATTTTCACTGTAAAATGGTGATTTAGTATCATGGGTAGGATAGTTAAAAGTAGATGAGGTTCGATTGATTGATTGAGTGATTGATTGTTTGATTGATTGGTTGATTGAATGATTGATTGGAGAGACTGCAAAGAACTAAATGATAAAGCACTTCACTTACATGTTGTTGCTGTTATGGTTACTACATCACTCTGTAGGTCAGAGAACTCTGTCCAGACCAGGATGATGTAATCTGTACCAGCCTGCAGATCACTCAGCTCTGCAGTAGACCCATTAACAAGCTTTACCTAGAACAGAACAGGAAGCAAAATGTGATATTATGAACAAGCAGTAACTGTTATAGGAAAATCTCTCTTCATTAATTACAGTACCACATCACACAATACCCAGTATTTCAGAACACCGGTATTTTTATCAAGATTTTATGTATAATTTACAACACAAAGGGATTGGATTTTTCCACATTTTCAACTTAACTGCTTTAGAATCTGTAGATGGTGTCACAAGGGACTGATGCATTCCTTGACAAAGATAATATGCAGTCAAAAATTACAGTTAGTCAATTTTCTTCTGTGTTGGAAATGAATGGCTTCAACCCACACAGATGAACTGTGAAGCTAATATCAGTCAATTGAAAGCTCTTTGAAAAATTCTTGTATGGCATGGGAAAGGCCATGCAGGATAGATGGGTTTTTACTAAGTCATTGAAAGATTTGTTTACATACCACACAAGCTGGTACACAGTGTATTGTCACTGTGGGAATAACAGGCCCTTCATCACTGTCCAGTCTCCAGCCTATAGTGATTGTCTGAGCTCCAATGGTGACTGCTGTTAGACTGGTAGGTGCAATGAGACCTGTCAGAAGGCATGTGCAAAAATGGAGATGAAACTTGACTCAGTCTTATCCATTCTCCTACATCCAAGTCATAACAAGATTTTATGTATACTTTGTATAAACTGGACAGTGAGTGAGTGAGTAAGTGAGTTTTATATTTAACAGGTTCAGTGCTCTGAGAAAACTCCGGTAGCCTGTAGGTCTTTTTGACAGGTACAGTAAACAATGGACCACAGACTTGAATTGCATTCAGAAAACTAAACTGCAACCCTCTGGAATTAAGTTGCCTGCAAGTTGGAGGCTTGGTGTTAAACTAATCCCCCCTCCCCACATCCAGTCCAGAAGCTCACCAGCAAACCATACACATTTCAGTCATACTCTCTTACAATGTATTTTCGATGTATTACTCTCTACGTTAATGGTGGACACAAAAGCTGAGCCCCTAAAGCCCAAACATCTCACCAACATAAGATGATACTTCTGCAGTGTCTCCTCTTAAAGTATCTCCAGCTCTCCTCTCCACAGTGAAGGTGTAGTCCATGCCTTGGAACAGCCCATCCATTGTTACTTCACCTTCAGCATTGTTTGCCTGTAGTACTCCACATTCCTCCCCATTCTGTTGAAGTCATGGAAAAACAAGATGATGATTATTGTATTCCTCTACCTACATTTGTCTGGATTGTGATATTTCTAGATTACATGTAACAGTAACATCTCTTTAGAACATCTTTAACATTTTGTTAAAAAAACATAATTGATATTAGCAATATCCGATTCAATATGAATGAACTTTATTGCTGGACAATTGTACATGGTACAATGTGTGGCAGTAATACAACAATACTACAAAACTAAACTATCTTATTACATTTCTTACTACAAACTACTATCTATACAGTATATGAGTTACAATATGTTCATGTATTGATGATATGTTCTCGCTTATGAAATAAAGTGTACAGAAATTGACCTACGTAAGCAGATATGGTAGTTGGGCATGACAATAATTCATGGATTATAGGAACGAAAGTGTATTAGGGCAAATCTACATGTCAATACCTCAAAATGCCCATGTCTCTTCCGCATACAGCTAATGTTCATTGAAATGGCAGCCTCTTCCCATGCAAAGGCCTCCTTTTGCCATCTGATGTTAACAGTGTTCCAAGCACTTTTTGTGAGTGTGACATTTGGAGCTGCAAACACTGTAAGACAATGCAAAAGAAAAGTCATCAGACATGTCTTGTACAGACATGTCTTCTACAATGTACAAGGAGCTAAAATGATGGCTCTTTTGTATCAAAACATCAAATTTTCAGCTGTAAAAGGATTTAAGGTTATGCAAATTATTTTCTCTGATTTATGGACTATATTTATAACTCTGTTTATGACTTCAGGTATAACAGAGGCATGAAACAGACATGGAAATATTAATATGTACAGAACAAAGGGAGCTACTGATAGAAAGTAGATAAAACTAATAGAAAAATATTATTACAAATTTCATAAAAAATATCATCATAAATTACGTATTATCATAAATGAAGAAAAAATACTTACTGGTGGATGCTGTCACTACAGCTGCTTCACTCTCAACAAATGTCTCAAAGGCTCGCACATACATGGTATAACTTGTTGCTTGCTGCAGTTCACTAAAAGTTGCAGAGGTCACTCCATTTATGTTGTCCACTGTTACACGGTCACAAGTAGGGACGCAGGAGATGCGGACCTGGTGTTGTGTGACCAGTAAGATGTCCACTGTGCTGGACGTGACTGACTGGACATAGAGATCTGTGGGCTTGGTCAACACTGTTGAACAAGAGACAACTACATTGTCAAACATTGAATTAGGTCATAACAATATCTCATTCTCGATGGTGTAAAAGACAAGTCAATCCTAAAGTAATTCCTGAATCTAAATTTCAGTCTAGATGTCTAATCTTACTGGAGCATGAAAATAAGAAAAGGATCACTGCATGGAAATATAATGTCAGTTTTCTGCGGGATTCAAACAACTTATAATCATACCGAAGTACATTGTACATGTTATTCACCAGAAAATAATTGAAGGCAAACAAAATAAGGGCATGTAGGTGAGATTTAGTTACCTGATGATTGCTGCTTCTTGATGCCAGTGTATTTGCCTCTTGTTTGCTGTAAGGTGGGATTGGCTACATTTCTCCCGTAGCACTTTTGCAACAGGTCAGGCATGTTGGTTCTAGTAACCCATGTATATGCCTAATGAGGTGAACAAGCAAAGACAATGTTAACAGATCAAGAAGCCAGTCCTAAGGGCTAGGGGATGTAATATGGTGTAATTATTAATAGCAAATTAAACTGGATAATACTTTATTTGAATTACTATAGGCAAAACATTGCATGCAATTCCTATCATTATTTTTTCATCATAGTGAAAGAGAGTAAGCCCACTTCCTTTTGAAAGTTCTATGAATAAAGAACAATTCATGCTTTTGTAGTCTTCAATAGTTGATACATCAAAATCATGACCACCACAGTCGAACCGCAGACCGCTATGCGCATCGGTTCTGCGCAGCTCTCTCTAAGATCTCGTTTAAATCTCGCGCTTCTTTTCCAAGGTAATGTGATCCGCGAGAATCCGCGAGAGTTTGCTACTGTTTACTGTTTCGCTTGTAACTCCGCTTTGCGTAAGTGTTTCCTTGTCATACGTTAACGTTTTTGGGGGGCAAACCCGTTTGCCCTATTTCATCGTCGATTTGGTGTATTGTTTAATAAAGTATAGACCCTCCCTCATCTATCGTGTGTTGTTTCTTTTGGGATCCTGTAGTTGTTACAATATAATAACCGATAGTAAGTTGGGCTCATTTAGTCGAATTCTCAACGATTTTTGTTCGAATCGCAAGCTTTTGTAACTAGTTCTAACCAATACACCTGGAATGTAAGATGTGGCTGAAATATAGTTATGTTGGCTTGACACCCGTGTACTTAGTTTTGAAGTTGCACAATGTGTATTGCAGCTCGACCTTGAGAAAAAGTGTAATTTCTTTACAGTTTCTTTGCCTTCTAAAATGTTCTGTTAAAAGTTATATAGAACAAAAATGAAAGTGAAAGAATATCAACCAAATAGTAAGCTTCAAAACGATACCCACTTTACGGGTGAAAACAGAAGAGAAGGAATTTGGGCATGAACAAATACAACAACAGGTTGATTTTTCATGACCTAATTTTTGAAGGAGAAATCGGACACTATGACCTGTTACTGTAAATATACAAACATCGGGCATATGTACTGACATTTGTATAGTTGCACAAGAATCCCACTTTCTCTACCGTCTTCATGATATAAGTCTTACTTGGAATGGGTTTCAGAAAGTCTGTTTGTGATGAAAAAACTTGATTCCTTCTTTTTATGAACTTTCGCAAACAGCGGTTGAAAGTTGCAACATTGTTGGCGGCGCGAAAAATGGAACGCGCTGCCTTGGTTCCATGGATCGAACGCAGGAGTTCGAAACCGATTGACTTCAAATTTGACGATTTTTGAATGGTCAGAACCTTGTATTAAATTCCCCTTTTTGTATATAATTGAATGTTATCATATCACGTATTATATTGCATGTGGTAGCCACATTCAAACAGTTTCTCATACCAAGAAACGAATTTTATGACATTACGCAAAATGTATCAAAATGTAGCGGAAACTCAGGATGGTGTGTGTCAGTAGCTTACAACTGGGCTAAAATTTGACCACCGCGATATGCGCATCGTCACAGTTTTTTGGGGGGCAAACCCGTTTGCCATAAAATTTACCAGGGGTCATTGGTATCAATGTAAAGGTAAAGAAGTGGGCTATCACAATGTGGTATTAGCCAACGGGATCCAGTTAAATTGTAAAAAAGACGAGCACAAACAAACTGACCAAACATTGCTAATTTTTGGAAGGCCGTAGCGCTCGCTGTCATTTTGCAATACACGAAATATCTACATGGTTGTACTGGGCAAATCCTGTAGATGTGAAAAAATGTAAACATTGTGTAGGTCTGAGGTCTTTTTGCTGCACTATTGGCAGTTGTTTACACCCATGCAACGGGGTCAAATCGTGACCCGGCAAACGCCGTATCTTAGAGAATAACACGTTCTACGGTGACCTGCGGTTCGACTGACCATCTTACCTGACAGGAGTTCTCTAAAGAACAGGCATACTCGCAGGCTGCTTCACTTTGGAATTCTCCTAAGAAGACTGTGTCCGGCCTGTTGTCAGTTCCTCCAACAGAGACCAAGCCAAACATGGCACTCTTGTCTGTGTACTTGTCATATTGCACTGGAAACATCAGAACAGACTGAATCATATCCAGACTACAATATTACAATATATATATGAGTCAAAAATAATCATACACACAACAAACACTTTGTTTGAATGTGACACATTGACGTGAATGCATTAAAGTTCTGGACTAGATTTCTGAAATAAAATCAAATTTGGATGCAAAGCTCAGAACATCATCATTAATATAGTGTCTTCATTGTTCTATTTTAGAGTCATGTTATTTTTTCATCTGTAGAATCTATGCTGACAAGAAGTGGACATTGTGCACGGAATTGTATAATCTCACAAGATAATACAATGTGAATTAGTGAGAAAATAGGGCCTTGAAGCTCTCTTCCACTGAAACACATACAATGTAATGCCGTGCAATAACATGCTCTTGAAAATCCCCTTCCACTCTCTACTGATAAAAATCAATGTATGTGTGTCTGCATGGATGCTGCCCACACTAAGAGTTACAGTTTCACTTGACTCCTTACCATCACAGGGTTGTTTGAATCCACTGATGACATGGTCTTGCTCAACATCAAAACGGTAGTGCCTCTTGTCATCTGTATTCAGCAGTCCATAGCAGCCATTACTGGTCAGGTTTAGAGAATAACCCTGGCAGCTTTCTTCCTGTTTACAGGCTTCCTGACAGCTTTCTTCTGAGTGATTCTCCCCAAAGTACAAGCTAAATTTGTCAGATGTTGTGATTGTTGGATCTCTCAGATCCATCCAACTTACACCAATCAGTCTACCCCAGCATCCTGTTTGATAGAGGAAAGCTGTTAAGAGGACTGGCACAACTTTGAAAAGGTTTTGGAGCTGTACTTGACAACTTAAGAAGTTAGGTGTATTCCACAATTACAGTCATATTACTTTAAAATGCACAAAAAACTGTTTTTTATCTAATAACAAAGAAATAACATAAATTGGGAACCATCCAGTTACAAATCAATACCTAATTTGTCATCTCAAGAAATATATCCAAAAACTGTTTCTAAGGCCACACCAATTTAATTTGTTGGTTCTCGGATTTTTTCAGGAAAAATATGAAGCGACAGGGCGAAAAAAAAATAAAAAAAATAAAAACAGATCTAGGCATCCTATTATAGCCCCAAATGCTACGATAGGAGGTATGAAGTCAACAAAAAAGGCTGGTTCAAAATTTAAAAAAATGAATTTTGAACTTCTAATGACTGAATAACTGTAACGACTAGGAAGAAAAGGACTGTTTTCAACTGTTCAGGGCAAAATATGAGCCTTTTGCAGTTGATTCTGAATTTTTTTTTTTTTTCAAATCAGGAAAAAATGAAGAGGCGAATCCGAGAACCAACAAATTAAATTGGTGTGGCCTAAGGGTGTCATTCTTGCCTTTGTATTGATTACAAGGTACATGTAATAATTTTGCATTTTTTGTTACCTTCGTATAGATGTCATTGCAAGACATTTAATATAAACCTGCAACATAAAACTACTAGCTTCTGCCAATGGCAAGGTAATAGCTAATCAGCAATCTATCAGAAGCCTAAGTTTAATCTCTCTGAAGATAGTGATAGTGATACCTGAAGGCAGAAAGCTAAATACATTTTCTACACACTTCTTTTTATTTTCTGCAATCTTTATGTCGTAGTTGTGGAAAGGTCAACATCATTAACAGCTTTCATTTCAGCACCAAGGAGAGATGCTCAAAATGCTATTATCTATCTTCATGAAAGGGTGAAAACAAGTAGTTCTGGGCCCCTTGAAAGTAAATGATGGGTGAGGAAAGTATATAGTAGAGGGGATTCATTCCTCAAGCTACCGACATCTTGCACGCGCAGTCGTCCCTCAGTAAGACACCTGGAGCCGCATAGTTCCCGTTTAGAACTTTTATTCAGCCTGTCACACAAGGGCACCATGCACTGGAAAGGTATATAAGTGAGAACTTCATGCACTTGTGTCATCAGCCTCTGTACACTTGAAGAAGCCACACAGGCGAAACCGGTCGTGTGACAGGCTGAATAAAAGTTCTAAACGGGAACTATGCGGCTCCAGATGTCTTACTGACGGACGACTGCGTGTGCAAGATGTCGGTAGCTTGAGGAATGAATCCCCTCTACTATATACTGATGGGTGAGGAAAGTTTTTCACTTACGATGGGGCTGCCTACTGGAGTAAGTAACCACAAAGCCTTCATATTGTTGATTGAAGTTGGACTGAAACTTGACAAACACAGCATTTCCTGTGGAGTAGAAGGTCCTGGGAGTAGCACTGCCGCACAGCCGATGCAAGACAGGCGCATCATCTCCTTCTCCATCGTAAAATGTGAGGGCGTCTTTGATGCAGTCGGGGTGTTCCTCCAGGGATATGGATGTGACTGAAAGACTCACAATCTTGCCCTTCTCAACAATGATCTTCCAGGAACACAGTGTTTCCTGTTTGACAAAAGATTTCAAAATTACAAATTGTTATATCTATTGTGATTCTTTTGGAGAATCATGAAAACTTTATGAAGAGATGTTTTCTAGGACACAGAGAGAAAATTTGTTTCAAGTGATATGACTCTCAACACTACAATGTATAGTATGTGCTCACCTGGAAATAGTTGTAAGGATAATTTGGGCTCAGCAAACACCCAGATGGCTCTGTGATATTCTGTGTGTGGCCACATACATGGCAATTATCTGAAAAAACATTCTGTCATTAGCAATCAACAATTGTTGCTTTTCATGCTATAAAGAGGTGAAGTTAAAAAAATTTCTTCAACATTGTGAACATGAAAAGTATGCTTTCACAGCTGCATTTTGAGTAGTTTTATACATCTTAGCAAATTCTTAGTCATATACCTGCACATGGCCATCTTACTCCACACATGTCTTCCCAATTCTTCTTCTCCAGAGCTGTGAGTGCATGTAGGTTAGTGGCGCTGCAGCTCCCTGTGTAACTGCTAGGTGGTGCACACATCTCATCTGAGGCAAAACTCCAGTCAGAAGCAACCGGACATGAAAAGGAGTAGTCACGTGTGCTACAGTTTCCTAGGGGTTATAGAAAAGTAAAAAAAAAATCATATTTCATGAATCTTAGATAAGGAGTGACACACCATCTTCTGTAACCGTTCCATTTCTTGAAAATAATTGACCCCAGGCCAGAACATATGTGTAACATATCTTAAACTTTACAAAATGTTATTCATAAACTTGAATGAAAGACAATGTGCATATCCAATAGAAGTAATGCATTATGTATTGTATATCAAGTTACAGGACATCATAGAAGCTGTGTCTATCACGATGCACGTATCAACATACTTACCACTGCATATGCCGCTGGAGAACTTTACATTGTCCAACATAACCTTGCCAAATATTTCAAACATAACCTACAGATGGGAAATAAGAATCATACAAATGTCAATCAGTGCAAGAACATGCTACATAAAACCATTTGAATGCAGTATGCAGTAATAAAGTTCAACATTGTTTACATATATAATCTGCTGTTTGAGACACAAGAAAGACAATTTTGTGATTCCTTAATAAGTTACATGAGCTCCTACAAAGAAAGCATTTTTAATACATGTATATAATGTATCCTTCAAATGCTCAATTAATGAGCTTACATTGGACAAAAAAAGTGATAAGAGACAATCAATGAGACAATTTTCAGCACTCAGTATTCAATTATGTTTCCACACATTCTTCCTTCAGATAATTACATGTAGTCTTACTTACCACAAAGTGTTGCAGTACACTAATATCAACAGTGGCCTTGGACCACATGTTTTGTGCTATGGGAGCAGATGTCTTCCACAGAGCATACTGGCGATCTGTACTTCCACCAAACCTGTCATCCAAAAAAAAATTATCAAACGACTTTTCTCAAAAGATGAAAAGCCGATATGCTGAGAAACCTTGAAAATAAACAAAACTCTCAAACTAGTGATGAAGGCCATTTGTGTTGTTTAATGTTGTACGAGACAAAAGCTTCATGCTATAACAGTTGAGCCAAAAATTGTCTTTCATTCCCCACTTTAAGAATGAGTTCACCTTTACTGCTGCAAAGAAGACAAAGAGCAAACAGTTGCAATGAAATAGGACGAATCTAGTTTCCTTGGATGTGTCTTCATATCATAGAAAGACTGCAGTTACGCATTTGCTTTATGCTCAAAAGCACCGGTAAGTATAGACCTATTTCAATCAACAACAAAAGTTTATACAGAGAGCTTTTTTTTCATGAATAGGTTCAAGAAATCTTTAGGGGGCACACCCCAGTTTATTTGGCGTCTCTATTGGAGGCTGTACACCCTCAAATCTAGCGACCGTATCTGGCGTGGAATAATTCGGAATGAGAATAACTGTATATTGGACGAAAGGATATCTCTTCAGCTGCAAGACCAGCTGAGTTTGGTTTCTTCAACCTTTTTAAGTTTGGTAAAATCAACGGAAAAAAACATTTTTTTCACTCCAAAATTAATGCCCAAAATTGCGAATTTTTGCGTAGGATAATCCCATAGAAAAAAATTTTCCGGCAGAAATGACTGATGCTGGCAGAAAGACCCAAGCCTTGACTATACTCGAGTAAATTATAAAGAAAATTCTAGTACTGTAATTTTCTAAACAGTCCACGGCGCGAGGGGTTGCAAATGCACCCCTACGAGGGCACAGAGCGAAATCTAGGTCAAACGGGCGGATTACACTTGGCGCGCAAGGATACCCGGAAGTAAGGTTCGGAGCCAAAAGAAATTTTCACCCCAAAAACACCACTTCCTACACTCTTCAGCCATGTTAATGTTTAATGACACTTCGTGGCATTTTATGAGAAATGTCACCTCAAACTTGGACCCTCAAAACCCTTTCGTCACTTTTTTACAACTATCACGACTATCACGGACCCCGGTCGCGCAAGAACTGGGGTGTGCACTGTTAAATAAAGCCATTATCATCTCACCTTATGTAGACTGTCACACTATAGCTATCTGCATACTGGTGGTACCCATTCATGCTGCGATACTCAAACTGGAGACACCTGACCGAGTGATATGATACTAAAGGTGACGTGAGTTGAGCCATGACATCAGGTGCAGGGGGGTATACAACATATCCTGTAAGATTGAAAAAAACATTTGTGACAAAGCTAAATGCACCTGCAGTTCCATCATGTTGCTACAACTTTTTCATCCACAACCACCAAGATACCTAGCCTTGGTGCAATTCATTTTGTAACTGCAACTCCGATTTTTGTTTGGTCAGGATTGCTGTTACAAATTGGATGGCACCCAGGCTACATGACAGACACCACAATCTAAATAACACCGAGCAGATTATTATTGGAATGAGCAGAGCACTTTGGACTAATGCCTCTAACCGTTCATAGCTTAGAGGTACATATCCAATCTTTTGTCACAAACTTCTCTGTTACATAGCGGATCATAATGACCCCCAGTGGGGGTCTTCACGCTTCGTTAAACATTGAAAAATCTCAAGATTCATTCTAAAGATCTCAATATTTTAGACGAAATCTTGAGATCTTATGAGACAATCTTGAGATTGTTCATGACAATCTCCAGATCTTTCAGAAAATCTTGAGATGAAAACAAAAGGTCTCAAGATCTTTCCAAATGTTTTCAAAGTATCTTGAGATTTTTCCATAGCATCTCGAGATGCTTTAAAAAATATCAAGATTGTTTGAAAAATCTCACGTTTTTTCAAGATTGCTTTAAAAATCTTGATATTTCTTAAAGCATCTCGAGAAGCTATGGAAAAATCTCAAGATACTTTGAAAACATTTGGAAAGATCTTGAGACCTTTTCTTTTCATCTTAAGATTTTCTGAAAGATCTGGAGATTGTCATAAAAAATCTCCATATTGTCTCATAAGATCTCAAGATTTCGTCTAAAATATTGAGATTTTTCAATTTTTAACGAAGCGTGAAGACCCCCACTGGGGGTCATTATGATCCGCTATGTAACAGAGAAGTTTTTGACAAAAGATTGGATATGTACCTCTAAGCTGTAAATGGTCAGATGCATTAGTCCAAAGTGCTCTGCTCATTCCAATAATAATATGCTCGCTGTTAAATGTATGATACTAGCCTGACATCATAGTGTAAAAATTAGATTTGTGGCTGCCTCTATCATTATTAATCAAAAGAATTCTAAAAGCAGCTTCCTAACTTCAGGTTGTATCCAATGAAGTTGAACCTTATTCTGAGACCATACATATATTGTACACGAGTATTTCCTTAAAAAATGTAAAATAATGTTCCATATCTTGCCTTGAGTGTATGGGTAGGAATTATAGTACTGCCGAAGCATGTCTGCATCATCTCCCCGCTCCTGGGTGTATCCACACAGGTTCTCCTGTTCAAAGCGACAGTCTCCCATCATTTCATCTGTCATATAAGGAACAACAAGCTGTCATTAAGCATCAACAGAAATACATGCCATGTATCTATGAGTAGACAGAATAACTTATAAATCATTTTAATTAATGGATCATTGTATTCTCTTCTTTTAGAGCAATATGGCGAAAGGAAAACCACAATGTGTATTTTTGTTAATTAATTTCTGACAGTGTTAATAACACTTTTCAAAGTTCAAAGCTTCAACTATTGAGATAAAAAGATACTATTTTATTATTGTTACAGAACATGGTCTCCATGCCACCTATGGTGCATACCCCCTCCTGCAGTTAACCATAACTGGGCTCCTTACAGGACCATGGAAGAAGAAAAGTTAAGATTTAGGCCTTCTTGAACTAGTCAGATTTCAGGTAAAGCCAGTTCTCATATTACCAATGAGTTTGATTTCTATGTTTATTATAAAACCCATAACCATCTTTTCTACCAACTTTGCACCATAAGCCAAAATGTCTGAATGTTTCAGGGGCTAAGTGTCACTGAAAGGTGTTTTGCAATGTCCAAGGCATTACCTCCACAAAGGTCTGCGCCAATACACTGCTCTCGCTCGTATGATTGGCCAGCGCAGCTTCCCTTGCCTACACAGGATCGACCTCGGGACCTCATGCCGGTACCGCCACAAGTGATGGAACAGGGATTCCATGGACGCCACTCCTCCCATTCTGCCAGACGGACCCAACAGAAATAAAGTTTGGAGAAAAAGCAATTGGTTAGTCGTATAGAAGTCATCATTGTCACCTCAAGGTGGTACATGTAGTTCACTCACAAAGAAGGAAAGCCTCCCTTGCCAGCCTTTAGTTTATTAAATAATTCCATTATTAGAATTGTCTACTAAGTCTTGATACGATTAAAAAAATCTCCCATCTGCTTCATTTATATAACATGTACATGTTAAGCCTTTGTATCCAAGTTACTGGTACCTGGGTAAGGAATATTATAGGGTTTATCTGTAGATATGGAGTCAGGAAAGGGATAATGGCTAAGTGTTGCAGTCAATTCCCCATGCACTAATGATGCTTACATGTACAGTGCATTGTAATCAATGTTATATACCATATTAGTTAGTAACTTATTCTAACAGTCACCAGGATATAAGCTGTTATGCTTGTCAATGTTACCCTTTATCACTTCCAAGAATGAACAATTCCACTAAAACGAATACACGCATTCCAATGGCTCTAGTTGAACCTACCATTTTCATACAAGGCTGAAGGAATGGTCTTTTGGTATCTGGTACCCAAACAAGGATTAATGACTTTTGATAGCGATTAGCAACAAGATAGTCGAACCAAAGTGCAAAGTCAACACTAACCAGCGCATGCATAGTTCCCACAGTCTCGCGTCTGTATGTCCTCCCCCTTGCAGTGGCCCATGACCTCGCATGTACGCACACGAGACTGCTGACCAACGCTGCCACAGTAGATGGTACAGTCAGACCACAGTGACCAGTCACTCCAACCTGGTGTGTGTATGCAAAAGGATGTCCTCAGTTAATGTGTATGAAAAACAGCCTAGTCTTCTTCTCAAGTTTTGTCACATTATAGTATAGGCTAAATTGATGTGTTTTGCCTGGTAACAGATACTGTCTCCCAGTGGAGTAGGTTTTTGTTACTTTTTTTTTTGTATCACTCTTTTTCTGTGATTTCGTCATTTTAGTTGCAAACTGTTGAACATCAAAACCAAAAAGTTGAAACTAAATTCAAATTTTTCCAATAACTGAAATAGATTATTTGCTTGTGGCTCAATTTTTTTAGGAAAAAAAAAAATGAAAGTCGTACCTTTGACACATTGGTATGTCATTTGGAAATATTTGCCCATCCCTGGACAAGGATCCCCAAAGATAGTATAGTAATTATAAGCCGCCACTGAGCAGTGTTGTTCACCCCCACACATGCTCCTCACAGTAGGCAGGATGTCTGTAGCAGGACAATCTGTGTTGCTAGTTGGACCATAACAAGCTGGGAATGGAGCTTGCTGACCAAAGCTGGCATTCACAATGGACAGAGTCATCTCTGCAGGGCAGGAAACCTCCATTGGTTGATCCTCACAAATCTGAATGGTTGTTTCTGTAGCAAATGCAAAGATTCAGGATGTTCCCATCCCACCTCAAACTTTTCAGCACCAAGGAGAGAACCAATCTGTACATTGTTATAAAAAGAGTATAACTTTTTCATTGTTCTGGCTTATATCTACATTTAAAAATATAATCATAAAGTAGCCTTGTGGAACACCATATTCAGTGGTATCACAATCATCACAATTCACATTTTTCTCAACTTTATCTCTGAACAGTTTACTCAAGTACAAATGCCTAATCAAAATACTTCAGGAAAAGATTTCGTCTGAGATTACATGAGATTCAAGCACCTGCTTGAGTCTGACCAGGGAGACGAGAGCAACTGTTATATAGACAGTCATGTAAATGCTGGCTGAAATTTGCTCTGAAAACACCCACATGCTGAAGGATCCTCAATCATAATACCCCCTCCTCCTTAAAAATTTAAATAGATTATTGTTTTAAGTACCCGAGCTTCCATCTTTAATAAAAATAATGTGCAGAATTTCTTCCAGCTTACCCTGAGGAAGTAGTCCCAGCACATCCACTCTCATGCTGATGTGGTTGTTCCACGTCTGTGGTAAGATACGGATGTACCTCGCAAAAACTGGTGCCTCAAGAAACCCAACATTTGCCTCCAATGTCGTGTCATCTGTGAAAATCTGAAATGACAGAAAAATTAGTGTTATATTGTTCTCCAAAAAAGATGTGGTTAAAAAATCATGTCATTTAAAAGAGGGAATAGATAAAGCTGCTATTTTAAACACTGAGATTTGTAACTTTAGAATTTGTCCTACATGTATCACCAACACTTGAACAGTGAAACAATGCAAATATGGTTGACAAAGTAATATATCTAACAAGGTATGATTTTCTAGATCTACCTTTTCTGCACCGTATCCATCAGTATAAGTCGTCCAGGTGTTTCCATCGACACTGTGCTGAAGCTTGTATGATGTCACACGTTCATACGGGGTACTGTTCCCTCTACCTCTGGTGATGACTCCACTAACAGCTGTTTCTGACCAAAGATCCAGCTAAAAAAAATCATGAAAACAGTCTTGAACACATCAAACTTGTCATGTTACCTCCCCTTTGTAATAGGTACATGTAACTGCTTTTGGGTACTTGCTAGAAACACTTTGATCAGAAATGTTAATTTGCGCCAAATTCATTTGGTATCGATTCTGCTATTTGATAAAAATATTATATCATTTTCAAAGATAGAGTAATTTTCTGAACCATGGAAAATTAATGTATTAATACACATTTGCTACAAGTGTGTTTAACAATATATGATATTTAGTACAGTATACTTGTAGTTATAGATCTGAAGTTTATAGTTTTTATAACAGCAGACTGCAGTAATATGCATTTTTAAAAAGGAACATTTCTTGATCTTTTTGGGTGCTCCAGAAAAGGGCAAATGTTATAATTCAGGTCAAAAGGGATTTCAAAGGCAAAGTCTGATTAGAAATGATGTTCTGATCAATATTTAGTGCTGTAGTCCACCTGTGAAATACTAATTACACAACTTAGGCCCTGTTCATGTGAAGTCAGTGAAGGCGCTTTACATGTGGTTTCCCCCGGTTTCAAGTGGCCCCATCTGAACACTCCAAATCACATTGAAAGCGCCTCAATCCCAAACCACTTCTAGAGGTGGTTTCAACTCGGTTTTCCCGCAGTTTTCCCGCATCGCGATTAATAACACGCTGCATTGTGTGTTTTCATCAAACAACAATGAATGCAGTTTCGGAGAATCGTGATTGGGCACGGTTCGAAAGGAATATATGGCACGTGGACTAGATGTGAGGTATGCGAGTTACCCGAATCGCGGTTTGGGTGGTTTCATATGAACAAGGCTTTAGAGACAAGTCGCGAACTCTTTTAAACAGCACACACCTGCAACCACTGGTTATTGTCTAGGACTCCAGAACACCAGCCACTTGGAGAGTACAGGTGACTATTGTGAGGCTGACAAAATTCTGCATCAGACCACACAGAGGAGGCAACCACATTCGGAGCTACCTCTGCCACCAAGCCTAGAGGTTTTTCAACTGAAAAAACAAGCAATATAAATAAGCAAGATATATATACATATTATATAACATCATAATACATTATGAAATATATCAGCAAAGTGTAAAATTCATATCTTATCATAATTAAGCTATATTGATAGGGACACCAAACCGAAAACATTTTTTTGTTTCTTTTCTATACAATTCTAAAAAATCTATTAAGTGCCTTTATATAAGGAAACCCAGATCACAAGCAATGAAAAGTAACCCCCAGCAGGCTTACGTGCTAAGCTTTTTGGCTTGAGTACGAGGGGTGTTCAAAAAGTTCTTGGCCTGACCTAGAAAACGTCAGGCCAGTAAAATTTTTCTTACACTATTTTTTAATATAGTCCTCTCTAACTGCAATGCACTTGGTCCAGTGATGTTCCAGCTTTCTTTTCCTCTTGAGGAAGAAAGTTGTATCTGGACCCCCAAGATTGGCCTATACCGCATAGATGACGTCATCATTACCATCAAAACGTTGACCACATAAGTGGAACTTGAGTTTAGGAAACAGGTAGAAGTCCGACAGTGCTAGGTCAGGTGAATTGGAAGGGTGGGGTTAGACTGCAAACCCAAATTCGTTTGCTGCTGTCGCTGACCCCTGTGCTGTGTGGACAGGTGCATTTTCATCACGCCAGCTCGGTGCTTTCCTCTCCTTTTCTCTTTGACTGTTGTCCTCAACTGTCGCAATTCTGTTGAATAGTACTCCACATTGATGCTTTAACCCCTTCGCAGGTAGTCAATCATGATTACTTCCTTACTGTCCCAGAAAACAGAGGCAAAACCCCTGTCAACGGATGAAACTCGCTAAAACTTCTTGGGGGGCCGGGAAAAATTCTTCATCGATTGTTTGCTCTGCTGTTTTGATTCGGGGTGAAAGTGGTGAACCCAGCTAATCCTGGGTTACAAATGTTTTGAGGAAATTGCATGGATTGGACTGAATTCGTTCCTTGAAGTGTCCCGCCTGTTTAACTTCTGATGTTCAGAAAACATTTGAGGCATCCACCATGCAGACAGTTTGTTCATCCCCAGGATGTTCGACAAAACATTGTGAACTGAGTCATAACACAGGCCAAAGAACCTGCTACATGTTGGCCAGTCTCATATCTGTCATTCACTACCGTGTGATGGATGGCCTCAACTGGATTGTCCGTGGTGCTGATTTGTGGCATCCTGACATATGTTCATCTTTTGTACTCTCCTTGCCGCACTTGTGGCTAGTAACCCAGTTCTTTATAGTTGAATACGAAGGGGAGTCATCACCAAGTGTCTTGACCATGTCTTCATGGATGTCCTTAGGAGACATCCTTTTTTATCGATACACTTGATCACAGCACACGCTTCTGTTGCGGCCATTTTGTGATTTGCCCTCACCCACCCCATTTTCACGGGCGTCACGTGCTAATTAATGAACATGAAAATTTGAATTTTTGTGTGCAGTGATGTAAGACGTCATAGTATACAGTTATACCAAAGAATAGGAGTTTGACCTTTATTTTCTAGGTGAGGCCGAGAACTTTTTGAACACCCCTCGTACTGTACATTTTGTATTTGATTATGATAATGATGGTACACTTTTTGTTAGTCAGCTTTTGTTGCTTATAAACCTATTTAATGTTAGATTTACCATTGCAAGACTATAAAACCATGTTAAACGTCAAGCAGTGGAGGTTGAAACTATGATGATCATACCAATGCAGTCCACTTGTAGCTGAGGCACCATTATGTTGGTAAAGCTAACCCTTCTGTACCAGTAGACTTTCTTTGCTGGGTGGGCACTTGTTGCACGGGTATAAAGGATACCTGCAAAAAGATGTAAGGCCACACCAATTTAATTTCTTGGTTAACGGATTTTTCTAGAAAAATAATGGAGCGGACGGGCAAAAAAAAATAAAAAAATAAAAACAGGCCTAGGCATCCTATTATGGTCCAAAATGGTACAATAGGAGCCATGAAGTCAACACACCACGCTGGTTCAAAATTTAAACAATGAATTTTTAACTTTTAATGATACCATTGCATTGAAAGATGGAATAACTGTAACAACTAGGATGAAAAGGACTGATTTGAATTGTTCAAGGCAAAATATGAGCATTTTGCAGTTGATTCTGAATTTTTATTTTTATTTGCAAATCAGAATAAAATCAAGTGGGCAAATCCGTTAACCAAGAAATTAAATTGGTGTGGCCTAAGTTCTATATACCTAATTGTCATTGAACTTGTCAAAGCATAAAAAACAGTCACAAGGATCAGATACCTTAGGTAAACAATGCTATTAATTTACTTTTCTCCAAAACACATTTTGAGGAAAAATTTGTGAATTCGCAGACTTCTTTTCTTCTCTCAGCAGGTAGTTCTATACAGATGATAGACCTAGAAATGTTCTTCCTACAGAGCTAGAATTTATCTGACCAAACTTTAGCTTTTAGCTGAGAAAACTCAACACGGATGATGCCATTCAACACCTAAAGAGAATATCTCAAGTATGCTAAAGGATAATCAAATTTTTGAATTAAACACTTACTGATTTGGCAGATGAATCTGAACTTGTTGTCACAGCTTGTGGGCACCCAGACTGACTTTTTATGGTAAATCACGGCTGCAGCACAGTAGTTCTCCCCCTTTCCCAAGAAATTGCTTGTATCTATGTACGATGGATACTTCCAATCGTGGAAGTGTCCATCCCCTAACACAGAACCATCTGTCCAGATCCAATGCCTGCCTTCCCCCGGGTCTGTCAGTCCCACCCAATAGGATTCACTTTCGTCAAAAACTTGAGCTTCGAGTACTTCATTCAGCTCAGAATTTTTTGGCATCATGACAAAACCACTGGCAGCAGCACAGGTTGCTACGGCAGAGGAGTAGGTTGCTTCTTCCCTGTAAATCCTAAGACATCTTCCATGGGTGTGGGTGTATTCTGCTGGACAGCCTGAAAGGTATAACTTACAAAGTCAAACAATACTAACAGTAACTGATGATCATTGTAATCCAAAATATTTATGTGTGACTACAGCTAAAACTGAAACTGTTTGAAGTGATAGAAAAATAGTTCCATTTACAGAAAAGTGGCATTTCTAAAAATTTTCAGTAAGCGAAGTGCGATACAGGCCACCCTTTTAATAGTTTGGTCTGCTGCTTACATATGCACAATACAATTATAACATTAATAATATAATATAATATAATATAATATAATATAATATAATATAATATAATATAATATAATATAATATGATATGATATGATATGATATAATATAATATAATATAATATAATATAATATAATATAATATAATATAATATAATATAATATAATATAATATAATAACAACAATTAAGACCTGACATTTATAATTCTAGGCTTGTGTTATTGTGCTAAGAATACATTCTGTTTGATGGAAATATCATAAAGGTCAGTACCAATCCCTTAATATCACACAAAATGAAGGAATACTGTAAAACATTCAGTAACATATGTTCTTTGACATGCATAATGTACAATGGCAGGTTTTGATTTGGGTGTTTGTGTAACATTACTGAATTGAGTTGTTTCATACCATGTAAAGCACCAACTTCTGGTCCAATGTACCATCCCACAGGATGGGCGAGTTGGGGGTCATCAGTGGCATAGATGAATTGACCATTGGTCAGGTGTTGGTAGACTGGGCGGTCAGCAGAGAGCATGTTGGTGAGCACGTATGTTCCCATTCTACTGGCACAGTCCCCTGCCAGACCACTTACTTGCACAAATGGACAGCGAGCTGTGGACAATATGATAACTTGATGAAAAATAGTCTTACTATAATTGTTTAATATTCATTAATTCTCTAACTTGCACCTCAGTTTTAATAAATGAGCACAGATTGGATAAAACCACAGAAAAAAATTTGAGATTCATGCAATGCAGACCTCTCCAGAGTGGTCATTTGACAAAATTGCACTGTAAAGCACAACAATTTTACAATAAGGAAGACAGAATTATTATATATATTAATTGATTTGAAACAAAAAATGGCTGATAAGAATATGAAAAGATGTATAATATAAATACCTGGTACTTCACAGATGTAACTGGCAACCTGTGTTGCACAAGGTCTGTTGGCCCATAAATTTGAAGAACTACTCAAGTACAGCACACAGTTTTCACGACTCTGTATGAGAGAAGGTTCGCCTGGAGACCATCTTGTGGAACTGGGCTGTAACCTTGTACCATCATTCCACTTGAACAATCCCGGCTCGGAACGGTCACTCAGCCCAATCCAAAATAAGGAATTAGGATTCACAGAATTTTTCAGGCTGTGGAAACAACATGAAGTTTGTAAGTCTTACTAGCTATTACTAAATGTCCTCTGATTAGTTTTGTTATAATTGGTTGCTTGAGGTTGTCAAGGAGTTTATAGATTAGGCCACACCAATTTAATTTGTTGTTTCTCGGATTTTTTCAGAAAAAAATCAGGAGCGACAGGGCGACAAAAAAAAACAGGCCTAGGCATCCTATTATGGCCCAAAATGGTACGATAGGAGCCATGAAGTCAACACACCAGGCTGGTTCAAAATTTAAACAATGAATTTTGAACTTTTAATGATACCACTGCATTAAAAGATGGAATAACTGTAACATCTAGGAAGACAAGGACTGTTTTCAACTGTTCAGGGCAAAATACGAGGCAGCATATTTTGCAGTTGATTCTGAATTTTTTTTTTTGCAAATCAGAAAAAAATGAAGCGGGCAAATTCGAGAAGCAACAAATTAAATTGGTGTGGCCTTACATGATCATTGTGGAATACCATGCATGATTGTATATATTAGTCATATATGATGACACCATGCTGTGATATCATATTTCCAAACAAAGCACTGTTTACTATTGAATGTCAGATAAATGTACCCGATCAAGAATTGATCCGTCTCAGTGTCATGTGGCATGGCAAGGAGCGCGTCGTTGTCCTCGCAAAGTCTCTCTGCTTCAGCAAAAGTCAGCTGTTCACCAAAAGCCTTGTAGCAAACTGAGTGGAATAACTCATACTCAGGGGGGCATCGGAGGTTGGCTGTTTCTGAAATGTAGGTCACAGGTAAAGATTGTAATGTCCTCTTTGTGCACAATTAAACTTGTGTCTCTATGCATTTCATATCACAGCTAATGCAACACAATCTCTAGTGCTGAGAGAGGTATCATACTGAGTTTGGCTCAAATCTAGTCATGTCCTGTCATACATGTACATGTACAATTATACTGTATACACATGTATTATGTGTATTACTGTGGTATGGCATGTTATGTTTATGTTATACTTAACGTGATTTGTATCTAAACATTTAGTATCCAGCTTATTTGTTTATGTTGAGTTGTGCTGTATTCTTCCCGCTGCAACTTATCATTGAACCATAATTTTACTGCACTGTATATTTGCTACAATGTAATTAATATAAAATTATACAATGTCATGTACAAGTAACTTTCACACCCCCACAGTCCTGGTCAACCCTTAATATCATTGTTGTTATTAGGCCACACCGATTTAATTTTATGAATGACATCCTCCGAAGACCCCATATATATAGTGCGCGCAAGCGAATAATAAAAAAAAAAATTCAGTCCAAAAATAAACATGTTACTAAACCACAGGAATACAAAGCTGGCATTATGAATTTGCGGCAGTACATAGTGATGTATACGACAAGCCCGCACATGCTGGAATTTTCGCGGAATTTACGAATCGTACTGAGTTCTTGAGTCATAGAGCTTCAGTAGCCTGGGTACCATCCTCTGGAGTTACCATCTTGGCTCCCAGTATTGTCGCTAACTACCAAGCCTAGAGCTAGGCCAGAGCATCGGAGGACGTGAAAATCAATGCACGCGCGGATGTCATCCATAAAATTAAGTCGGTGTGGCCTTATACACTACTGACTTGTTATACTGTAGCTGGTGTTGGTACAGACATAATGTTTTATTTGTACTCACTCCAACAGCGAAGGATTTCCACCCTCATACTTATCCAATTGAACCATGTCTGCGGCCAGAAGCGCACAAACCGTGTGATGATTGGCTCATCTAGGAGGTTTGTTACCTCTGTATCTCTGTCACTGTTTGCTGTGAACACCTGGAAATTTGAAGTATGAATTATCATATTAGAGAGTACAATAGAAGTTTTATTGCAAATTCGTGCCCGGAGGCTAATTGCAAATCATAAACATACAACAGTATTAAAACAGATTATATTATTATACAATAGTATCTACTATGAAAAGTAGTTGACTAAAACTATAGCTATACAATGTATACCTGTCTGCATAGAAACACACTGTGGTGTTATCAACCAGCATACGCACTCAAGTTATAGCTACAAAATAAACTAGAAAGTAGAAAGGTAACATTTGCAAAGCAAATGCACAATGTTTACCTTCACTTGTTCTAGCTTACCAAACTACTGATCTGTTTATTACTCAAACACAATCATATATAATACTAGAGTACTGTGTATATGGTGAGCAGTCCCTCCAGCTCTGTCCTGCTACAAAATGTAAACCAACAGGGTGTTGCTACAGCACTAGTTACCATGGTGACAGACGTCTGGCCCAGGTCATTGACTTTATTTGTTTGGAGAAGACAAAGAAACTGAGCAAAAAGAATATGTTTTCCTTCTGCACAGGAAAACATAACAAGTTGTTCTCTAAATAATATAAACAGGATAATGAAGGTACATATAAAAAGTCATTAACCATATCTGGAGGTTATATGGAGCAGATATAGATGAATTAACTTACCTTGTCTAAGCCAGTAAACAGGTCTACAATTGTGGTAAACTGATCCCCAAAGATGCTGTGTTGCAGCTTGTATGATGTGACCCATTGATCACGATCAGGCCGGCCCTGTGTGATGACACCACTGATGGGGTGCATCCAACCCAAGTCAACCTGTCAAAATATTATCAAGTGTTAATGAGACTGTATATATATATATACTGTCATTTATATATATGACAAAGCAGGAATTTTTCAAGCAACTCCCATTCTGTAATTTAATGGAATCATATTGATAAATGATGGACAAAAATAACTCTGTTACTTAAGAAAGTTCAAAATAATGCTAGGTAAGTTTGTGGCTATTTACTCCAATTAACAGAGATGTCTCCTATACCCCACCTGTAGCCATTGACTGAGATCCAATGGTCCGCTTGCCCAGGAAGAGCTGCCTTGCAGCCTTGCTTCAGAAGCCCTCAAATAATATGAATACTCGGTGGAAGCAGTGATACTTTCGTCTGGTATGAATCCTGACTCCATCCCTATTGGTTCACCTGGTTCCTCACAGGCTATGTGCATGACAATAAGAGGAATTTTCCACAGTCAAATCACATCCTTATAGCACGTCGGCAGAACGTACTGCACCTGCGCGAAAACCCGTAATGTATTGTACATAGCATTTCAGCAAAATGTCTCATATAAGGTTTTATATCATACCCGGGCCGCAAGGTTGTATTCGCTCATATAAGGTTGGCATTTCGACAGTAGTTTCCAAATGTTGTGTCAGAAAGAATATCCTCTGCAACAGGCAAAATTCTGATGCAACGTTGACCAAAAACCCAACGGAAAACGCGAAAATACGGGGTTCTGGGAAGGCGCAGTACGTTCTGCCGACGTGCTCATCCTTATAAGATTCTTCCAGTAGTTAGCTATATAGGCAGCTAGGTAGGTCGTTTTTTGCAACATCATGGGGTAAAGACACCAAATAAAAGCAATAAAAATGTCGGCACAAGCAGCTCTTTCAGCACCAAGGACAGACCCCATTGGAATGTCAGGAATAGCTTAAGTTTCTAATCATTGTTCCTTTGCAGTTTTTCAAGAGTAATCATCTGCATTAATGACTACATGTACTTTAAGCCATATCTTATAAAACATAATCTTGCTGTTGTTGTATAGTGAAGGCTTATGACATTGACCCCATTTGTATTTCTAAAAGAAATTATGTCTACGTGTACTGACCGATGTCAACAGCTGGCACATCCTCATCTGTCCACCCATCACCGTCATCATCTATCCCGTTTGGGATCTCCTCATCAATCAACTGATCGCAGTCATTATCAACGCCATCGCCCGCTACCTGCAGAGTTCTGATGCACGAAGGATCCATTCCTGAAAAAGGAATGAACTTCTGTATATAATTCATGACCACTGTTCAATCCATTCATTCAATACACCTTTTGTGACAATTACCAGAATATGTGTTTAGGCCACACCAATTTAATTTCTTGGTTAACAGATTCGCCTGCTTCATTTTTTCTGATTTGCAAATAAGAATAAAAATTCAGAATCAACTGCAAAATGCTCATATTTTGTCCTGAACAGTTGAAAACAGTCCTTTTCATCCTAGTTTGTTGTTACAGTTATTCCATCTTTCAATGCAATTGTATCATTAAAAGTTCAAAATTCATCGTTTAAATTTTGAACCAGCCTGGTGAGTTGCCTTCATGACTCCTATGTACCATTTTGGGCCATAATAGGATGCCTAGGCCTGTTTTTATTTTTTTCGCCCGCCCGCTCCCTTATTTTTCTAGAAAAATCCGTTAACCAATAAATTAAATTGGTGTGGCCTTATGACAGAATACATTGTTGTTTATTATAAAAGTTTAATCATAAGTACCAGGGACTTGTGACTCAGGCCATTTGGTGTAGCTTTAAGATATAAATCCCAAAATGCCTAACTCGATACTACACATGTACAATGTAGACAGTATCATTGGCATGAGGTAACATTGAATAAGAATCATATAACCACACTCCTGTAGCAGACTGGTATTCATATAACCAAAATTTATCTATTGAGGTAGTCAATGTTATATTTAGCAGATGAGGTAGTCAATGTTATATTTAGCAGATGAGGTAGTCATTTATATTTAGCAGATGAGGTAGTCAGTTATATTTAGCAGATGAGGTAGTTTATGTTAGCAGATGAGGTAGTCATTATTGTATTTAGCAGATGAGGTAGTCAATTCAGCAGGGTGGACATTTAGACAAAAATTCTAAATGCATGATTATCAAATTTTGCTGTGGTATCAAAAGATGCTACAAAGAGAATTGTAAAATGTTTCAGTTACATTGAAAGTGAAGCGTATATAATAAGACAGTGTGTCCAACTTTGTAGCAACCACAGAGGTGCAGACAGCAATTCAAACAGCCCACCTCCAAATACCTCAACCTCACACAGTGCCAGAGTGCCGTAAACTGGGAGGTGGATCCCAACATATCGACCCCTCAGTCCCCTGCACTGCACTGGATAGCCAGCTTGATTCGTCGTCACTCTTTGCTCAGGCTCACATGGAGAGTTCAGGGTCACCACTGGATCACTCCCGACGTACACCACGAAGTTATCCAGCCGTGTGGAGCAGCAGTCCTGCCGGTTGAACACCACCACCTCATCAACAATGTAGCTGGCACCGAGATCAACCCGCCACCAGTTACTGTCCTGCCATGCCGTATGGGTGCAAGATTCTTGGTAAAAGTTACCATCTCTGTTCCCATCAACAGCTCGGCCTGCAATGGCTCCGTACATAGTACCTGACTGTTCAGCTGGCTGGCCCAAGGCAAGGTTGGTCCTTTCTCTCGCTTCAAAGAGAAGTCCAGATAGGGAATGGAGATTAGCCAACCATCTATTCCTAATGCATTTGCTTCATACAAATGGAATGTATTTTGAACTTGCCCAACACAAAATTTATTCAGGAATTGTTTTTAGAATTCAGATAGCAAAATTTGACCACTCATTTGCCTTCTTGCTTCATAAATTATTACCGTGGAATAGTAAAAAAAGGAATCATCACAATCATCATTTTTTAAAACTGTAACAGCAACGTCAATAACTGTATCAAAATTTTTGGAAGATCTCATAACTGCTTGCTGCCTAAAAATATGAGGGGGTGAATCTAAATCTAGTGTGCAGTGTCCAAGATAAAGGGTTGTGGACATGTACCTTCATACACCTCAACTTCGCACAAATTGAAGACCTCCTTTTTGGGCAGAAGAATCCCCACATATCGCCCCATCAGCCCATAGCAGCTGACTGTATAGCTGACTTCCATTGTGTGTACTGGCTGATTGGCCACACAAACCGGATTCTTCTCGACTGTTTCATCATCGCCGACATAGACATTAAAGCCATCCAGCCGCTGCCAGGTATGGTCCATTCTGTTGAACATGACAACCTGGCCAATCCGCTGAGAAAAGCCGAGGTCCACGTACCACCACGGATTCCATTCACTCTTAGTATGGAAGCAGGCCGGATCACTCTCATCGTAGTAGCCATTCCTGTTACCGTCCACAGCTAAGTCAGCAGAGCCTGGCCAGTGTGGATCAGTACTTGACTGTGCAGCGGGCATGCCAAGAGCTATGTTCCTTGCAGCTGATCAGAAAAGCAAAAACAACTTTTGGTGTCAATGTATGGTATCTATCAAGAGACATGTGACTGTGAAACACTGCATTGTACATTTTCTAAAGAGCGAGATTCTGTATGCTTTTCTTTTACATTTTATAGCACACAGTTTCTAGGAATTTGTAAATAGCTCTAAATGTCTTTGAAAGTGTTAGGGTGTAATTTCAATAAGTTGACATGGTACATTATAGTTACAAAAGTTAACTTCAAGGAAACTTCACATAGTGGTCAGTTTGTGGTCCAGGCCCAGAGGTAGAGCTGTAATGGACATGTGAGGTCAAACTCACAGGAGGGTCCCTATAATCAAAAATAAGTTGACACCCGAAATGAAAATTATTGTTTTAGTTTGCTGGAATTTAGACATATGGAAATGTTTAATGCACCTGTCATGAAGAACCACATAATATCATCATCTGAAAACCTGCCTCTGTCCAATAAATACAAACTTTCTAATAAGTAAATGCTCACTTAGGTAAAAATGAGTACCTTGCTTTGGTTAGGACATCCCTTGGAGAGGACGTTTAATGGAGGTCCCGTGTTTGGGGACAGCCACACCCCACGCCCGTTAAAGAACCCACCACACCTTTCGAAAAAAAAGTACGGGCATGCCCCAGTGTGCGATGGTCCAAAGCTGATTATTCACTACGGACTCCAGGAAGTAGTGTGAAATTCTAACTAATGGAGATCCTAAACAAACAAACAAACAAACAAATGCCTGGCATGATATCAAATGATGAGAACTACGGTAGCACAAACCTAAGGCTGGTACAAATGACCAGTCATACATGTTGCCACTTCCTGTACTTTTTTTTTCCTCATCAGAGCAGAGCATTGGTTTCAAATAGCAGCTGGACCAGGTGTTGTACTGAAAGGACAGGCACGAGGAGGCTGCACAGCAAGCCTCTGCACAGAACTGTAGAGTTACACCATAGTGGATGGCTATCTCCAGTCCCGGGGAATAGCAGTCAGTTTGCGGGACGTGGCGAAATGTTGACAGTCCACATGTGTCTGCTCCTGAAATATACCCATGTGGAATTTGCTGGGATGAGAAATCGGATAAACTGCAAGGATGTACTATTCTATTTACTTGTCCTGTGGAGTCCAACAATTGTTGTTCTGCACATACAGTACTATCTATATAGCACCTTGTATAGGTACAATTTGGGGGTATTTCTTGTGCATCGCATCACACCACACCACAGCAAAATGCAGCAAACATGGACATAAATATGCCACTGGAGGGCAAAAAAAGTCACAGGTTCATGACCTAATTAAGACATGAAATTATTGAAAAATATTGTGTAAAAAAATACCAGCAGGACATTAGGGTTGAGTAAATTCCTTAAACATTACCCCAACATTGAATCAGAATCATAACATTTCTTGCCAAAATCATTTGATTTTAAGAATCCCATCATATCATTGCCTTTGTCAGAAGGCTATGGTTTTGGTTTGGGCTTGGTGGAACAGCTTTGGTGTCTGGAGTCTGTATGTAGGTGAACGTCATAACATGAGAAGTTATAGATGGATCTTGATATTTGGTATGTGGGTAGCTTCAAGTTCAACATGGATTCAATTTCAAATTGGTAAACCTTTAAATCCTCCTACCTGCTCTTTCTCCAAAGAAGTTCACTTCACGTAACCATGGCTGCCATGTCCTGTGCGTCTCTGTGATGTTGAGCTTCCAGAATCGTCCCGTGGCTGAGAAGCCTCCGAATTCCTGGACCTCGGATGAAGCTGCCACTTCTGTCACCGTCACCACGTCTTCCCAGCTGTACGGGTCAGAACTGGCCGATGCTTCCAGCAGGAACATGGAAACATCGTGGGTTGTATCACCGTTGTTGGTGATGCTGATCTTGGAGAGGGTGTAGGGCACAACCAGGTCGAAGATGATGTACCACGGACCTCGACCGCTTGGGTTCCAGTGAGAGTAATAATTACCATCAAGAACTTTGTCCGCATCGGCAGCATCAGGCCACTGCGTTTCTGTCCTCTCAATCGGCCAATCAGGGGATCGCTCCAGCCAAGCGCCACCTTTATAGAAAAGAACAAAAAAGTATGTCATTAATAATTTATGAGCCCTTTTTACCTGTCTCAATGCCATCGTGTTTTTTTCACATCTTACATCTTACATCTTACATCATCCCCAGGTAGGCTTAGTGCCTGTCAGCTCAGAGCGTCGTTTCCATTCCCTCCGGTCCAGGAAGACTCCCTCCTCCTCCAGCCTTTCCAACCTCCCAATCCTGCGGTGTGTCAATATTTCTTGCACATTATCCCGCCATCGTTTTCTCGGTCTTCCTGGTGGGCGTTTACCCTTCAGTTTAAGGTCGAAGGCCACCTTTGGGATTCGGTCTGGATTCATCCTTTGCACGTGGCCTAACCACCCGAGGGCAGATCTCCCAATGTCATCGACGACTGAGGTTATGCCCAGCATATTTCTCAGATGGGTGTTACGGATCTTATCCAGTCTGCCCTTGCCTAGCATGGTGCGCACTACTCCCACCCCAGCTGCCTCCAGTCCACTGAGGTCCTTCTTTGTCAGCACCCATGACTCTGAACCATATAGGAGGATTGGTTTAAGGATTGTATTGAAAATGGTTTTTTTCACATGATTTATATAACCTTCCTATCTTTCCTGCGTCGTGATTGGCTAATCCATATACCCTACCTATATAAGGAGAAGGCGGGCTGATTACTGCGCAGAAGCGATAGACTCATCCCCACAGCCGGACGCTCGGCTCGGCGCTCCGTGCAAGACAGACTGCCAGCCTTCCAGTGGTACTTCCCGGGCTCCAGGGGCGAGCGAAAGCTCGGGGAGTGAGAAGGTGGACGGTTAATGTGCATTTGGAGGTTTACCTTTGTTTTTTGTTGGTGAATTTTGGAGTTAGAATGGATTTGGAATTGTTGGCAAGTTCGCACATGTGTATGAGAGTCGTCTGTCGTTGCACGTGCATTGCCTCTCGTCATGCCGAGGTCTGTTCTTCTCGCAGGCGGGGCGTGCTCGGGCAGTATGTATGGCGTACAAGTGTTAGCACGCCTCGGTAAAGGAAGACATCTAATTTTGGATGTGTTGTAGATGTCACAGGTACCGGTCGTGCCGGGAGGGGGACCTGGAGGAGGACCGCCGGGAGCAGTGCAGCAAGCCGCCGGGGCTCAGGGAGGTGGACCGCCGGGAGCAGTGCAGCAAGTCGCCGGGGTTCAAGGAGGTGGACCGCCGGGAGCAGTGCAGCAAGCCGGGGCTCAGCAAGGTGGCGGCCAGGGACCACACGGGTACAACCGCCGGGAGCCGCGGCAGGGCGATGCCGGTGCAAGCAGACCAAGGCGCCGGAGGGCAGCCCCAGCATGCCGGTCAACAGGAAGCTCGGCGAGCGGCGCCGGCGCCGAACTTGGCAGGGAACCAAGCCCAGCCACCGTTATCACAACAGGTAATTGGCATTGGATATTATGAGTAGAATAATAAACGTTACATGTTGTGATAGAGCACGAGTTGATGATATTTATATATTATTTTGAAGTTGTATTTGTAACAAGCTAGTCGAGACCGGATAGTGCACTCGGTCAGGAAAAATTGGTGTATGGAGAAGCATGCTCTTTACTGCAAGTGGTGCAGGTATGTTGGTATACATCATGTACATGGGAATGGCCCATGATTATGGAACATGGTACGTTAAAGTTTCAGATAAGTTCGTCGTAATGCCATGTGAAACGAGGATAATATGTACAAGAGTACAGGCGGGAATGGCCCGTTGATATGCAAATTGGATACAAGTCAGGACACGTGCGGTACACGTGGGATTGGTATGTCAGGCTGTAGCGAGTCTGACGGTAACGTAATTTGCGATGTTTATACAAAAGTAGATTTTATGGAGTGATGTTGTAGAGGGTGAATGGCACGCCTCTAAAACTCTATGTATTGCAGGCAATACGCGACAAGATCGCAAGCTTGGAGGCAACAGTCCAACGGTTGTCGGGTAGTGCGTCCACCGAAGCACTGAGGAAAGAGTTGTTGGACCACGCGACCAGACCGGCAGCGCTGTTCGACCCGAGGAAGGCCATCTCCATGATGGAAGCGCTGGTCGACACAGCGAAGGGAGAGGGACATAGTGATGCGGAACAATTTAAGTTGATATTGTCTCAGATGAGACGTCATGTAACTAAACCGTATTTCCAAGAGCTAATCATTGACCAGTTTGGAGAGGGTGTATTGAAGAAAGTAACTAAGGATTTTCATTCATTTGTCAAGAGTCATACCAGTAAAGCGATAACAACGCAAGGGGTGAGGGGGTGAGTTTTGGACAGAATACTACTATGTTTGATCATATGTACCACCCGTACCAGCCCTGGAATCAAGGTCAGGTTCACGGTAATCTTGTGTGGCCGTATGTACCGCCTCAAATGTCGGCATTTTCTCAGTCTGCTTTTCCACAGGCGGCTTTTTCCCAGCCCGCATTTCCACAGGCCACCTTTTCCACAGGCGGCGTTTTCCCAGTCAGCTTTTCCACAGGGGGGTTTTCCACAATCATTTTTTCAGCCACGGGGTGCAAATTTTGACAATAGTCGTGGTTCCAGAGCTGGTAGAGGGCGGGGAAGGGGCAGAACTGCTCGCCCACAGGACAGATGTTTCAGGTGTTATGGTGTGGTCATTTTGCAAAGGATTGCACGGTCAATATGGATAAGAAATAGATTATCTTGGCACATGTATTAATAGTGGAAGGATGAGATCTATCGCAATGCCCGTGACATGTTGACAACTTGGAACGGAATGGAATTACGAGTGTTGCCTTTGTCCTTGTTTCTATGTGTATATGTACATGTAAAATAACTGTGATGATATAAAATGAGGATATTTATAAAGAAAAATACTTAGAAGGGGAATTATATATATTTGGTACAAATTACAATGAATATTCATAACATAATATATATTTTTCAGAAGAATATAATACAAGGTACAAGGTACAAAGATAAATATCTGTCATTGTTTGTGTTATGTCAAGATGTTGAAATAAAGGATGAAGTAAAACAAGTGCTTCATTATTATGATATATAAAGCAGTTAAAAGTATATGGACGAATCTAAGGACATGCCCTGAGAATCGGATATTCTGTAAGAAGTTGAGTTTATTTAAAAAAAAAAAAAAATAAGGGTCAAGAAAGCACGTTGATAACAATGTAATTCGTGAATAGAAATACAGTCTTAAATACACGTCACTGCGAATGAACTTACTCTCGTTATGCCGGAAAAGGTTATGGTACACATATAAAGATGGCGGGTTGCCTTGTTTATATACAGGCAGCTATTGATGACGTGACGGGCGACGGCAGTGAGAGGCAGTACTCAGTGAAACCGCTGGAGGCGTACATGCAACATCTAGCAACACACCAGGGCTGGGTCACCAGGAAGAGAGATGGGGCTAACATAGTCTCGCCATCAATAGAGATGGTGGCTCAAGGAAAGGTTAAGGCGTCAGCAGATTCTCTATTGTTTAGAGACCCTGAGTCTTTCAGGGCAGGTGGTTTACATAAACATGCCACGGAATGGGAGAAGATTATTGAGACATGTGAAGGTGAATCGGATGTGGGAAGGTGGATTAAGAACGGAGTTGACATGGTAGAATTTATACAGCCATTTAAAGGACGATTTAAAGGTAAAGACTATGACTCCGCATTCCCACCTCCGGCCAGCTTTCCAAACAGCCATAGCTGTTATCCGTTTGCGAAGTTTGTGTCTGACACAATAAGAAGTAGAATCGTATCAGGCGCTATTTCAGTTTGGGGTAGGGTAGGTCGGGTAAAGCCCCCCTACATAGTGTCCCCATTGACGGTGGAGCCGAATAAGCCTAGACTGTGCCTAGATCTTAGATACTTGAATAAGTGGATGAGAGATTGTCCTTTCACGTTGGATACACTTATAGACGTAACAAGATATGTAGAGAGAGGACATTTCCAGACAGTGTGTGATGACAAAAGTGGTTACGACCACATTCTGATAACTGAAGGTAGTAAGGCGTTGGTATGATTCCAATGGAATGGATGGTATTACGTGGCGAATACACTCGTATTTGGATGGAAATGTTCTCCCTTTGTATATCAGAAAGTTGGGTTAGTAGCCATGCATAAGATAAGATCATTAGGAGTACCTTCCTCCCTGTACATAGATGAATAGGCATGACGGGGCAACTGCAAACAAGGAACATAGCATGGTCGTACTACGAGAAGGCACAGGCAGCATGTTTTATCCTATGTGGTATCCTGATACAGCTAGGTTATACTATAGGGTTGGCGAAGTCACAGTTAGAACCACAGGTAATGCCAGTATTCCTTGGAATGGGCGTAGACTCTATGACGCTGGCATTTAGACTTCTGGAGAAGAAGAAGTTGAGCTTTGCGGAGTTAAGAGACTACATATTGACCTGTGAAGAAGTACCAGTGAAGGTATTGCAAAGATTGACGGGCAAGATAGCGTCGTTTATGATAGCAGTACCAGCAGCTAGATTGTTCTGCAGAGAAATGTTTAGTAAGATCAGCGAAGCGGATAAGCAGGGCAAGAAGGTTAGAATTGAGGGAGGTGTCAAACAAGAGTTAAGAATACTGGAAGTTCCTTGACACATGGCAGGGGCACATGCCATGGAAACCAGAGAGACACGAAGTGGTGAATCTAACGACAGATGCATCAGGTTACAAATGGGCAGGAGTGGTAGAGTCGCAGGAGGGACAGATAGAATGTGGAGATTATTGGACAGAGAAAGAGATAGAGGAGCATATTTCAATAAAGGAAACAGAGGCTCTGACACGAACACTCCTGTCAGTACAAGGTAGTGTCAAGGACAAGAGAGTTGACGCGAGAGTGGACAACCAGAATTTAATTAGGGCGTGGCAGAATCAGGGCGCGAAGAGCCTAAGCTTGAACCGAGCTATTGTTGGACTGTGGGAAGTAACTGTACAGTTGAATGTTGACTTACACTTACAATATGTGCCATCACAGTTGAATGTAGCAGATAAGCCTTCGAGGCAGTGTAGTTTGACGGACGCCCAATTATCACCTGAGCTGTTCGAAAGATAGACGCGATTCTTGGGGGTGAGAAGGGCTTTGATACGGATTTAATGGCACACCCATCGAATGTACAGACGAGTAGAACGGGTAACAAATTGGACTTCTTTAGCCAAAATCCTGCACCAGGCTGTAGCGGAGTAAACATATTCGCTCAGAACATAGAGAACAGAAACTCATATGTCTTTCCACCTTTTCGGCTCATCCCAGCAATCCTTGCTTTCATTTTGCAACAAAGAGCCTGTGTAACAATCTTGGTCCCTGATCTCCATCCTAGGCGATATTGGTGGCCCATTCTCAACAGGCAAGCGGACGAGGCCATAAAGGTAGCTGTGTCAGGGGACAGGGTCCTACGATATCCGGTCAAACGACAAGGTTGGAAGTTACAGCCGACCAAGTGGGACCTGTGGGCGTTCCGCATCAACACAGCTCGTTCCAAGGGGCTGCTAGGATCTGGGTACCAGCAGTAAATTGTCAGGAATGTAACTATCCAAATGACTTTTGATTTTAACTTTTGCCAGAGATGTGGAAAGGCAAAAGAAACCCGACAAAGTAGAAACAAGGAAACAAGGAATTCAAGTTAATTTAAGAGAGATTGAGGCAAGGTTTGACGAGATTATGGGTGCACAACATAGTTCAGCATATGAAAAACAAAAGAGAGCTTTGGCGGACCTTCTTAATGCGTTCTTGAAATCCTTGTCTCCAATGAAAACCATACAAACAGCGACACCAGCAGATGTGATAAAGTTCTTGATCTATAAAGATGGACAAGGGAAGACAACAGTACATGACACAGGTTGTAAAAGGACAGAGCAGGAGTCATGTGGTTGTCTAAAACGTCTGGCGTTTAAAAACAATTGACTCATATATAGGAAAGCTCAGGGCGATATTCAATGAAAGAGGAAGGGAGGAGACTGGGATGAGAGACTGGGGCTCGGAAACCCAGCAGCCAGTCAGGATGTCAGGAAGTACTTAAAAGCAGTGACAGCAGAGCAATTGCAACGAGGTTTAACTCCTCGACAGGCGAGGCCAGTGTTCCTACCAAAGATTTTGGCGGTATGTCAGTACATTGGAAAAGCGATAGAAGGAGAGAGGTCAGGAACAAAACTCTTCATTTTAGCCAGAGACAGAGCCATATTCAAGGCCTTGTTTTTCGTCAGGGGATAGGGTAGCAGATCTGATGAAATCACGAACAGACGAGGTAGGCAGACTACCGTCAGGAGCGTTGCTATTCAATCATGTCTGGGGTAAGACACTTCGGGATGGTAGAGCGAATCTGTTCACGTTAGAACCTACGGGAGATCCGGATTCATGCCCTGTAGTAGCAATAGATAAATACGTGCAGATGGCGACGTGGCTGTCGATAGACCTGACAGGAGGTTTCTTATTCAGATCTACTTCAAGGGAGGGACATGTAGTGGAGAACCCACCGTCAACATCTGCGTTAGATAACGCTTTCAAGAGATACTTGGAAAAGATGGGTCAGTATGAAGGGGAAACACTACATGGTTGCAGATCTGGATGTGCGATATCGCTCCATATGGCAGGGGAGTCACAGAAGGGAATCATGGAGCACGTAGGCTGGTTCGGTAAGAGAACAGCATCATACTATATGAAGGTAGCACAAGTGATGGAGCCAGGTCGACCAGCTCAGAAACTGGCATCACCAGAGGTAACACAGGCAACAGAGAGATACGAGAGAAGCAATCAGGTGGCAGGTTTAGAAAAAGCATTTAAGAAATAGAAATAAAAGGAAGACAGGGAAAGAGGAATGAAGAGTGTAGAAAGAACGAGAAAAGGATTGGAAAAGGAGAGTGATATAGTATCATGTGTATATAAGAATGGGAGATTGAGGGAGAACTAATGCCCCTGAACGATAGTGTTATGTATATATAAGAATGGGAGATTGAAAGAAGTGAATAAAGAAGCTTCATTACATACATGACGTTTAAAGAGTCTCGTTATTATTTCCCAATCACTACGTGAGCAGGAAGGACAAGGAGAAAAGAGAAAGGGAAAATAAGAAAGTCAAAAAGAGGAGGGAAAGATGAGATTGGGAAAAGAGGAAGAAAGGAAGACGGAAGGAAAATAGATACTGAAGAGAAGAAGGGGCGCGACGTAAGGCACTACCCCATAGCTTCATATGGATGAGCCAATCACTACGCAGAAAGAATAGGTAACTATCTTTCCTGCGTCGTGATTGGCTAATCCATATACCCTACCTATATAAGGAGAAGGCGGGCTGATTACTGCGCAGAAGCGATAGACTCATCCGCATAGCCTGGTAACGCGGCGATAAGTACCGTGGGAATAGAAGAGAGAGGGGGTGAGGAACAAAAGAGAACGAGCTAGCTGGGATCTTGAGTCTGATTTTATTTGGATCCACAGATAGCTAGGACGAGAGGCTAAGAATTGTTGAACACGCAAACGCCCACCCACCCACCCTTCGTTACGGATAAAATGGATTTGAATCATATCGCCGCGCGACTCCAGGCACTACCCCATAGCTTCATATGGATGAGCCAATCACTACGCAGAAAGAATAGGTAACTTCCTACTCTTTTGAGTAACAAAACTACCCTAGCAAAGCAAGGGAATCTCTTGACTGGGAGTTGGTTAGGACCTGACTTTCAATTTCTCTGTTCTGAGACATCCATGAAGAAAGCTACTAGACTAAGTATTTTTAACTTTGTTTATTAGTTGCTGTGATAGCTGAGTAGTTAGATTAGTGGACATGGTAGAAAAGAGAAATCAAAACATGGCCTACAAATTAAGGCCAGGACATGTTAAGTCCTTACAAACAGGTATTACCAATTGAAAACTGTATAGCTTTGACTTCGAAGAAAATTTCCATACCTTCAGTGTCTTTAAGCTGCAGGTTGCAGAATCCAAGATGCACCAGCAATGCCAGTGCCAATGCCCATTTAGGGATTCTTTGCATGGATTCCATCATGTTTATGTACCTGGTAACATGGGGTGAAAACCAAAGTTATCAAGGACACAATTATTTGTAAAAAATTGATAAAAACAGAGTGAAAATGAAGCCTTGAATACTTTCCCAACCTTTATGTTACCAAAGGCACTCTGGACAATGAAAGAATTGTCAACCCTTGGCAATGGTATGTGAAATTTCTGTAGGTACAAGTAACTCAGGTTCTGAGATACACGTTGCCATCTGAGCTCGGTCGTCACAATCGTTAGGGTTTAAAAAACATTCACCACTCTTCAATGGGTCTATCACAGAAGCAAGTAAAGAACTGTACAGCACGAGAAACTTACCTTGTACACGTGCAGACTCAATGATGCACAGTCATACTGCTGCTTGAGGATGGCCCCAGTGAAGTCCTCCACTAGTCTGTTTTACTCTGCCATCTCTGGAGCTGCCAAGCTTTTACTGAGAAATATTTAGCAAAGCTCATTCCTTTCTAAACATGTGGGCATCAAATATTGAAGGACCAAGACTTTCTATCCTGTGATACACTTCTGTTGATCTTCTTTTGCAAAGCTATTTTTTACCTTTTGAATAGAATTTGTCCTTTTGTCACTGCTACTGGGATGGTTTGTAAATACTTATTGTCACCTTTGTTGTGAGGTAAGCTGTGTTAATGGAGATATAAGCTGATATAATTGAAAATTTCTTTTACCAATCTCCTCTCATTCCAAATTCTTTTCAGAGTGAACAGTCCTATAGGTACCACTTTCACACAGGCCTTTTAGAGATTCTCAGTTTTACACAATACATTCATTGAAAATGCATGATAGATTATGACTTTTTCTTATACTTCATCTTTCTGTTCAAATATCAATCTTATTTTAATGAAACAAGTTTCACTGTTTGGCTCGTCCCCTTAACAACTTTTGTCATGAGGACTGAAAAACAGAAAATACAACATTGTATATAGTCAATCAATAAAACATGCATCCATATAGTGCCTTTTACATGTAGATATATTTTTGCATGCTATTGTACAGTTTGTACTAGTGGGCTTACAGTCATAGTATGGATCAGTTTGCACTAAGTGCATGTTTCTTAGGTATTGAGAACGTTTCGTGACAAGGTTCAGACTTTACATTATGTCCAACACAAAACTTTGGTAACCATTGTTAACTGTATGACGTGCACAACCATCCAACTTTTGGTGTGTAATTCTTTCTAGCTTAAAATATGGACTAAAATTAAAACTGTTACTTGATAGGTCATGATAGTTTGTATGGGTGCAATGTAATAGGTCTTCCACCCCGGTATAATCAACTTTTCACATTTTTAGGCCACACCAATTTAATTTCTTGGTTAACAGATTCACACGCTTCATTTTTTTCTGATTTGCAAATAAAAATAAAAATTCAGAATCAACTGTAAAATGCTCATACTCATAGTTTGCCCTGAACAGTTGAAAACAGTCCTTTTCATCCTAGTTTTTAGTAAGCTATTCTATCTTTCAATGCAATGGTATCATTAAAAGTTCAAATTTCATTGTTTAAATTTTGAACCAGCCTGGTGTGTTGACTTCATGGCTCCTATTGTACTATTTTGGGCCATAATAGGATGCCTAGGCCTGTTTTTATTTTTATTTTTTGTCGCCCGCCCGCTCTATTATTTTTCTAGAAAAATCCATTACTCAAAAAATTAAATTGGTGTGGCCTGAAGATAAAAGACTCAAACAAGAGACGGATAGTAGTAAACTGAGCAACTTTACTAAACACACATCATTCAGTGACTGTGTCAGGCCAATACTATGTACAACAGGATTTTTCAAACAGTGAGTAAGTGCACAAATATATATGCCACATAACATAAACAATTTATAATCATTCACTGATAATTTCAAACAAATTGTCATATTCTTGAATTTTTTTAATGACATTTTGGTCCCAACAATAATCCATTTATCACCCACATATCAACATCACAATTAATCATAAGCTAAACAATATACATGTTTGACATCAACTCCTTTTTGTTACAATATGGAATTTCAAAATACTGTGAGAAGCATTGTTTGTTGCTCTGCTGGTCTTTAAGCATGTCATACTCATAGCAGAAATTGAATGAATGATACACTATAGTGAAGGTTGACAACCTAAAATTGTATGCAACACTTATTGCAAGTCAAAACAGCCAATTCAACAGTATGAATGACCTGTCAAAGTTTCATACTCACCACACGTCTGTCATGACTCCTTGACCACCTTTTCTTCAATGGCTTTTAGTGGATGTTTACCATTTCTAGTGCTTATATAAAGATACAAATCCAGCAAAGTGCTCAGTGCCAAATTGAATGTTGGTTCTATTTTAAGACTTGATAAAGTCTGGATTTTGAGGCATCACAATGGAAAGACAACTAGGTTGCGTTCTCAGTTTTTGCATGCCATGTCATGACGTATACATTTCTTATCAAAAAAGATGTACAATGTATCATGATAGTATCTTTCAATTCATGACTGTGCTTAAGTATATGTTTATATGGTTGATTCTCAAGTAATGTGTTATCTTTTATAAAGTTAGGGAATTAAGGTGTGGATCAGAAAGAATCATGGTGAAGAGTTGAGTACAAAACATTGCTATTAATTCTTGCGTGGTCTAGTGAATTATTTTTTGCTCAATAGTATGTAGCATTTGCTCCTTCACGTTTGCAATGCAATCCTAAACAATTGCAGAAATTATTTTTCTTTTCAGTTTCACTCTCCACTCAACAATTCTTTCTGGTTCACATTTTACAAAGCATACTACCTGTCAATACATCCCCGTAAATGTTTTTTCTTCAGAATGTATCAACACGTAGAAACTTTCTATGTCCTATCTGTCTCCTAAGCCTCCCCCCTCCATCACTGGCATTACTGCAGTCCAATCCCCCCTTTAAAATAACATACAAAACCAAAATCAGTTGTGTCTAGCCACTTGTGCAGTAGGGTAAGAGTATGTAAAACAGGAAAAAGTGACATGATTGGCATTTCCACCCAGTGTTTTTAGGAGTAGCCTCTAACTTGTATGTTACCATAATCTCCAAGCAGATCTTATGGTTGTGGCAAAAGACCGTATCCATTGGCCATCCTGTATCCATTTCCCTGAACCTTCGGTGGCTAATGGACACTCCAGTGGCCAATGGATACTGTCTTGCCACCGAAAGATCTGCTTGGAGATTATGTTACCATACACAATGATAAAGATACAATGAAATTGGCAAAAAAATTGGACAGGCTATGTGATGATTTTTTTCACTATACTTATTTTGTTGTTTGTACGTATTTTGTTGTTTTCCAGTGGCAAAAAGGCTATTTTGATACAACTCCTTAAGTGAAATATATGTTATCATTGTGTTAAAAAAAACATAGTACACACATGACATGTCCGTGTAAGTTATGATGAATAATATGAAAATGATGTTACTATGGTAACAGAATTCTAACAGGTGGCAAAATTATGAACAAGTTATAGTTCATAAAATTATGACATTGATATCAGTGGTGCAAGAAAATGGAGAACACTGTCACAATGCAATGATCTGAAGTTATACCAATTATTGTTAGACACTTGAGTGGTGTAAGGTGTTGTGATTGTGTTTTCACCATACCAGTGAATTGTGTGATCTAAAATAAAGGAATGATACAAAGTATGCAAGTCACCATTTTCTTGCAGGTGAGTACAGGTTAGCAACCTATCTTGTACAACAAATTACAAACTTCATAGTATTCCACAAAATGGTCTTCCCTACTTTCTAGAATACCTGCAGAAAAGCTTCCCTGTGCTGTTTACATCTGTACAGATTGCCATTCATATAGCACAATTCCCAATGTATCAGCATTCTACTTTATAAACAAAACTATCAAATGTCCTTTGATATACATTGTACATAGTCTGCATAAGCCATGAACCCCTTTTATCCCTGGCTAATAATACAAGCACTCAATAATACTACAGGTTTTATTTGTAAATGTGATAGAAAGGAACAACACCACAGCCAATGGAAGAGGAAAAAAATTTTTGGAGAAGTCGCTAAAATGGTTTATCAATATCTAGTGCTGCTTTCAACAAAATTACAATAATTCAATTCTGATTTCACAGTAAGTTATTCCCATGGTCAAAAACTTCAAGGAAATCTGACACTTTTTAAAAGCACTATATCCTACCCACCCCCACCCCGTCTGTGAATGGAATGATCTGACCTCAGAAATGGAACGATCCGTCTAAAACAGCAAAGGGCTGGTAGCTAAACACAGCAGGATTGGATTGGGTGTGGTGAGGTCATGTGACTTGGATGGAGAACACTGATTGGTTGGTTGTCGGGGGTCAGACGTAGAAGAGGCGTACTCTGGACGTGCTGACTAATAGGTCCTTGTCGTAAAAGTTTGTCTCGATCACCACGTTCCCGCTGAAAATAAAACAAAAATACAATTTACATGTTTGCCATGTAAGAATATTTTGTGCAGAAAAGTCCATCATCATCATCATGGTCAGTGCATACCAGTATTACAGAGCACATCGGCAGAGCGCAGTGCCCCTGCGCAAAACCCTGATTTTTCACAGTTTTGTTTGGATTTTTGGTCAACATTGCATTAGAATTTTGCCTGTTGCACAGGATATCTTTTCCGTCATAACATTTGGAAACTACAGATGGGATATTAACCTTTTATACTCGAATACGACCTTATATGAGATGTTCTGCCGAAGTGCTATGCACAATACATTACAGGTTTAGCGCAGGTGCAGTACATTCTGCCGACGTGCTGTATTACAGGTACTAGGTGGACTGCTATTGTTCACCCTTTACCATCCAAAACCCATCTCTGAAACATTGCGCTCTACTATAGTGTATCCTACTCCTAGTTATTGCTTGTCGTCAATGAAAGGTAAATAATGAAATGTTCTGTACCTGAGCACGTTAGCTGGCATCATCTGGTTCTCTGGTGCTGCCTCTATGATGGACTGCCAGGTGTTGGTGGAGTTGGGAATCACAAAACCAAACTCAAAGTACCACTCTGCAACAGACACGAGTTCATTATTTTTTATTACATGTATTACCCTTGTAGAACTTTGGTTTGGTGCTACAGTAAGTCCTCAAGAATAGCTTATGAAATGCATTTCATAAACTATTCTATTCTATTGTAATGACAATGATTAAAAGACAGTTAAGGCCCCATTTCTACTAAACAGTGATTGATTCTTAAGTGATCATACAATAGCCAAAATTACTTTTTGTGTGACCATTGATTTTATAATTAATACATGAAGGAAGGTGTTAAAGTATGGCATAAACGACAACAAAACACACAACATGTAAAAAAAATGTTGTTCTTTATCTATGAAATTCATTGAGCAATCTGTCAAATATTTGGTTATTACTCAACAGTTACAGTCTCTAGTGGAAATGGGGTGTCTCTTGACACATACCCATCTAACATTTATATCAAATCGCCTCATTACAAGATTTCCCATCCTGACCCAGATAAAGATCCATAGGCAGCCCAAGACACCTCTCTCCCAGGCATGGATAGGTACAGGAGTGAGTTCCCTATCTGGAAAACCCACCTTCTAACACCCTGCCCTTAAACAGGACCTTCTGCTCCAGCCGGAACCTCTCCATCTGCTCGATGGAAGAGAAGTTGATTTCCCGCGAAACTGCTCGGCACTTCAGGATCTTCTTGGGTACTCGGGCTGTAGGTAAGGCATCAATGGAGTGTTGTTTTTTTTCTTGATAACATAAAAAACTTTTGATTGAAAAAATTGAATGACCTTTGCATGAAGAATTTTGCATGTGTAGTTGTTTCAATTAGTTACACTATAAAGCCAAGAGTGGGTATTTTTAGGTCGCCGTTTTGATACATTTCTGTCGGGCAATTGATTTGAACATAACATAGATGTTTTCAGAAAATACTAAATTTTTACATGAATGAAAGTTGCCAATCCATTTCAGTTAACCTTTAAAGAGCTGCACATACTCATCTGGTAGTAACTTATTTCACTTCAAGAAATTTTGAAGAACATATATAACCCTGGCCTCTAGAAGAAATGCATTTTTAACCACTGGAATAGGACTTGGGTCCAACAGATTTCAGTACTTAAGGATAACAAAAGGGTGACTGAATTATTATCAATACTGCCATGTTTTGCCCATGCAGAATTTCTGTTAAAACAGTAATATGCATAATTTACTTTTCACCACTCTTTCAGCATCATAGCCTGCAGTTCCACTTCAAGAAGACAGAGGGAACTGCTACATGTATGAAATTGACTTTTTGTCTCCCTACCTTCATGCTCAGTTCCTGGTACAGACAAGTCTTCACTGCCCTGCCACAGGATCTTTCCTGAGTCTGCATCACGCAGGTTCATCCAGTTGCTATGGTGATTGTCGTTAAGGAAACCAAAAAACTTGCCCATTATACAAAATCATTCAATGTAGGTGCTGACATTAGTAAATGTCCCAAGCATAATATAAATCTATGAGATATAACAAATAATACCGGTAATGCATATACTACATGTACTACATAGCATTTACAGCCAAACTACCAACTTGAAACTTTTATCTGTGCATTTTATTTTGATGCATCAATGAGCAACACTTAGCTACCAAGATGATGCTTTATGCTGGAATTGGAAATAACTATTATTTATGTACATTGAGATATATAGAATCTGCCAAGTAGAACTAAAAGTGATAAGAAAAATGTTGCATACAAATGCTGAATTACTAGTATACAAAAAGCAGACTTCCAATCAATGGACTGTCCAAATGTCATTACATGTCTGGCAATATTCCTAACCAATCATCACAACTTCCCGGTTGCCAGGCAACAGGTGTTCTATTTACTGTGTTACCACGGGAACCCCACCACATCTCACACAGCTGACAGCACAGCAATTTCCGCTCAGGGTAATTCCCGTAAGACTTTATACCTTTGATGTCTAGCGCAGACTAGCGGTAAGTGCTTTAGATATATGGGGCACAGATGTATTTCTAAGGCCACACAAATTTAATCTTGGTTAACGGATTCGCCTGCTTCATTTTTTTCTGATTTGCAAATAAAAATAAAAATTCAGAATCAACTGCAAAATGCTCATATTTTGCCCTGAACAGTTGAAAACAGTCCTTTTTATCCTAGTTGTTACAGTTATTCCATCTTTCAATGCAATAGTATCATTAAAAGTTCAAAATTCATTGTTAAAATTTTGAACCAGCCTGGTGTGTTGACTTCATGGCTCCTATCGTACCATTTTGGGCCATAATAGGATGCCTAGGCCTGTTTTTATTTCTATTTTTATTTCGCCCACCCGCTCTATTATTTTTCTAGAAAAATTCGTAAACCAAGAAATGAAATTGGTGTGGCCTAGGGAAAGGAAAATGCCAGCTTTCAAAATGGAAATCATATACTAATGTTCCTCTTTTACAAAATGTATTACTGATATATGGTAAGTGTCAAAAATATACCATATAATACAGCACATTGAAAGCAGATAGGGCTGAGAATGGCACAATTTCAAAGCCATTCACCTTGTGTATAGATTACCAGTCACCTCCATCTTACATAGCTAAAATCTGCACAAATTTCTGTTGAGTCCTAAAACATGTGACTCTCGTCACAAACTCTGAAAAAGCCAACTGCATAGAATTCTTGCATATCCTGATTCAACAATTTTTAACAGGTTAAAACTGATAAATAAAATGGATTGAATTGTATATACTCTAGTCTATACAGATCAAAACATTTCATACCATCCAAATACAAAATATCACATTACACTCAGTAGTGAATTTCAAATTTGTATATTCGGTAAGAAATGAGACTTACAGATGTAAATGCTTGTCCACCTTCATGTTGCTGCTACAAGACAAGACAGATGTGAACTAGGGAGTTGAGAGTGTGTCTGGCTCTTTACCACTCCTTCATGAGCAGTTTGTCGGAGCAAGGGGCTCACGAGGGGGTTGTAGAAATGATGCTTAACATGAGATTATTTTTTTTAAATACATTTCTCCTAAACTAAAGCTTGCACCTTGCTATACATGTTTTCTTTCAAGTACATTATTATTCAAGAAACCTTATTTCGTTGTCTGACTCTTATTTTCAGGCATTTTGCATTACAATATTTTAATCTATCTGTATCATAGATGACCATATAATGCAGAATGTGGTGTCTCTTAAACCCCTTGAATAGTCCTCCAGTCCACAAAGCAACAATAAAGGCTGAGAAAAATGTCTGTCTATAGAGATGTCATTACCAGATGCTGGGTATCAAGACACTGCTACCATGGCAACACATCTGTTCATGATGACATCACAGCCTGTGATGTTCCCATTACCTAGTATTAGGCCCTTGTATACAATCCTATGGGAAAACTAACGGGATACATTTGGGCTCTGCTATCTGTAAGATATGACAAAATATTAATATCATAACATAACATGACCATCAGAAAGTGACTCATTTTTGCCCCCTTGGAATAGAAAAAAAAAGTTGGCTAACCTAGGGCTACTCACCAATAGTTTTCCTGCTTTTTTCATGTTTAATATTGTTTGAATGCCATCATATCTGCCAGAGTATCATTTTAGGAAGTTTGGATCATTCTAGGCACTGTTTAGAATAGAAGCCAAAGGATATGCATGCATATTCACGCTCATGTCTTACTGAGCACCCTATGCAAACCATACTCATAGAATACAAATTTGCCCAAGAAATGGCCAATGACTTTAATGAACCAGTTTTCTAGCTGCTTGAAGCTCGGTCCCTGTCTGTGCATATTGTCAGTGCTTTTAGATACCGCTAGCGCTGCATGCATTGAACTGAGGTCAAGTAAAACGTTCTAGGTAATTTCCATTGTGCACAGTCAAGTACACACAATGAGAACACCATTATTTTCTTTGGTAATGCATTGATGTATTTCTTGAGAAGTAGGTACAGCCAATTAAAGGCTCTTTGGGTATGAAAGAAACATCGCCTTACTGTACCTCCACTGCACACTAGAGAATATATAGTCTTCTGGATCCTAAAATATGTGTTTTAGTATATACCGAGGCCCTTATCTTTATGTTAGCAGTCAAGGCCTTGTACCGGTAGTCCATTTCCGAACAGCTGGTAATCTTGAATTCTAAAGGGAACAAAAAAAACATATTCCACACCCTGCTGAAGCATTTACTATACTAGTAGGTATGTGTATTGTCAATAGCCAAGCCCAACCTGTCTGCCAAGTAGGTACTGAAAAATTCATAAACCACCCTAGCTTCCCTTTATTGAGTAAATGGCAGGACAAAGTCCCATCCTCCCACCATAATGCAATAACCTACCACGGTCTAGTGCTTAAATCAAAATGTCTTCGCTTTGTAATTCACCCCGGTACGTGGAGCTATGAAGTTATTTATTCCCTTTTCCCAACATCCCACATGTAATGAAATCCATCCTAGGAGCTTTAGATTGTTAAAAATCACCCGCTCCTTGATCTCTCTATTTCTGTAACTCCGTAAATTGCCTATAATGACACTAACTGAAGCTAATACGGGCAGGGAGGCGGGTTGCGTTATTCTCCCTGGATGAAACGCCGGATATGTGGCTCCGGGCACAGACATGTTGCTACATTAGCGTGGTCTATTTCTAGATCTAAGGAAGCTGAATCATAACAATTCCAATTTGGGTTTACCTCAAATCCTGACTGGTTCCTGATGTGAAGAACTTTATTGCACGACATTTGTACAGGATAGTCAATGTATTATACATTGTATGGCAAATAGGTAACAATAAGTAGCATAGTAAAATAGATAGGTATAGAATAAAACTTAACAACTTATACAAAATGTATATATAGAAAAGAAATAATCAAAAGTTAGCTTAGGCTTTGATAATTGTGTGCACATACATATTCAATACACCATCCTGTCATGGTGCAGACATACTCTACTGCCGAACTGAATAACCAAGACAGGACTATCATACATATGGAAATTCTATACTTTGCACATCAGTGTTAATCCCTCTAATCATTGCAATAACGAGCGTGCTAACAACTTGCCACACCCCTGCAATGTTGCTGACGGTATGCCATGTTTAACAATTGCCTGGACTGAGATAGGAATCAAATAAGGGTGCAACAAGTGAGGAACTGGTGGGGTCACCACCAATCAAATATTATTGCTAGTAATCAAATAACATCCTCTGATTGTTTTTACAGTCTTAACCTTTATTATATTTGCCTTTCCTTATATTGTTGCATCGACAGCTAACACATCTTTTATTATATAATTTGATAATAAAAGGGTCCTTAATTACTATTTACCTATATATATTTGTTGAAAAAAGGCCTGTGTGAAGCAATAGGCACCTTATGAGTCAGCAGGATTAAGGTGTATCCACTGGCTTTGTGTATAAACCTGTAAACTTTCAATTATAAAAGATCTTTCAACAGGTTTCCAACAGAAATGGAAGTTATAAATAGGTCTTTAACCTTGCAATCTTCTCATTTTGTATCTCATCTGTACTGGTTACAGGATACTTCAGCTGGTAGAGGGTTAATGTGGAACTGGATCCAACAGGTGACTCTTACACCATCAAATTCAAAACACAGAAAAATTATGCTTAGAATTTCGATTAAGTTAGAACTAGCTATATACATATCTGATTCAATAGTCATATGACTGGCTACTAGTACTGAGGTGTTCCAAGATGTGGCTGTCACTAGAACAAAGTGTTCTCTATGTAAAAATCAATGTATGAGAGTGACAACTGTGGAAACACTTACAAGAAACAGGGAGGGGGCTTTTAGAATTTGCCAATGACATTTAAGCTTAGACCTAAACCTCAATGCCAACTGAACATAAATCTATAAAAAGAGATCGAACATCGATAACACACAGCTGGGTGACTTCTTAGGTCTACCAAACATTCACAACAGGAAAATTTTAATTTTCAATTTTCTTAAAAGATCAACAGCATGCATTCCATCAGGTGACTTTCTGTTACAGACACACCTTTTCTGGACTAAAACTACTTCACTAAACTACCTTTGACATGTTTTATATGATGGATTGAAGCTAACATATGGCATACTGATCTCTCATTGACTGTCAGTTCCTATGAGACTCAGTTCTCACGCGAAGGGACTTAGAGTGGGCTGATTAGCGTTACATAGATTTTTTGTCCAAATCATATTATAATCTGGTCGTTGACGAAGAAGTCAACGCCATGGTCACTGTTCTATGGCTACCATGTTCCTTTGCCTGGTACGGTTAACTGAAGTGGTGATAAAAATTAGAAGATGTGTCGTGAAAAAAAAAGAAAACGTCGGACAAAGATGAGACCGTAAGGAAAGATTTAGAACTGAACCGCACATAAATTTGACATCGATCCCTCTACCTGTTCACGTACGCAAGACTACAACAAACACTCAGAAAGGATACAGCTTGAAACCGTTCAGAATGTCCTCTGCTCGACTCGGCATGGTGACCACACGACTCTGAGAGCTTCTTCCAACTTCTGTGCTTCGAGACTACGTCTCTTGGTGTCCAAGACGAGGGATAAGTTTGTAGCAGAAGACTGAGAAGTTCGAGAAAACACAGACCCTCCTCCTGCTTCCGCTAAAAAATGGCATCCAAATTTATGAATGTAGTTCGGGTCGCCACTTTACCTTTAGAAGATATTCATCCGCAACTACAATATCAGAATGTTGTGAACATCTCAATTCATTGTCTTACAAAAATGAAGCATAGAGAAGTTAACACAATTACTTTGATGGAATGATATTGTTCATAAATCTATGCATATATGCGAACACTTTGTTGCAGTGAATGTTTACAGCAGAGTGATGCGGTTCGTGACGTCATTCTTAACCCGGAAGTAAATTTAAGGTAAGATGGCGGTTGACCTGACGTGACCAGCTGAACGTTTCGCAGCTGTAAACAGCTCGAAATCATCCCAAAATCCCGATATTAAGAAATCTTTGGACATTTTTTCGAACCCCTTGGTAATATATACAAGGTAGGTGTTCCTTACTTTGTGTATTCCGTATCTGTAACTGTCAATTTTACTACTTTTCAGAGTTTCTGCTCAAGCATCTCGTAGAAGCAACCAACATGACCCCTCGGTCACTAGATTACGATTCAGAATGATTTATAGTAGACGCAAAATCTTGCCGATAGTTGGCGTCCGTATCAACTTTATTGGAGTCCTGGTACCGTAGTCTTTTGTACATAATGCCAAATGTACATGCACAGTTCCTCACTAACTATATCATAAAGTCAAATGTTATAATTTAGCAAACGTTATGTAGCAAGCAAGTTTTCAAGCGACCTATGACCCAGTTGCGTTTACCAAAACTCAACTCAAACTCCTTGCCAGGTTTGCCACTTTGTCCAAATGTTTCCAACGGTTCCAAGACAGACCAAAACAGTCACCTTTTGTGTGAAAACTGTGCCACTGTGAAAGAAGTAATTCTCCACAGTCATGGCTATCAGCTCAGCTCAAGGCCAACAGACTCCACACTGTTTTGATGGACTTGTTTGATCATGCATAAAACATGAGGTCGTCAAAAGGCTGCAAGGGACCCAGGGCTGCAAGGGACCCTTTTTTATCCATTTGGAGAAGACTCAGATGTTAAGCCTCAATTTTCTCTGATTTATAAGTGTCTTATAAGTTAGATAGATGTGATACAGTATATAACATTCATGTTGCATGATTTCTATCTGTATATCTATTTGCAGTCTGTTTGGGGCAAATTGAATTAGTCTGGATGCCCCTGTTGGAAATGACAGCAACCTTTGGCAGAGAGCCACATGCTTTATATGCAATGCTGATGAATTCGGTGACAGTATTCTATTGTAGTCAGGCTCAGAAAACATACCCAGTGCTGCAGAATACACAAATGAGAAACAGAAAATGTGAGGATTTTTCTCTCTTCTTCCAGGTCTGATAGAAAGAGATAAAGTTGCTGGTAACCATGGCAATGCGTCAGCTGGTGGAGGGGGAGTGCGGAGGGGCTAACCCCCTGATGAAGTTAACCACACACTTCACTCAGGACAAGACTCTGAGACAGGAGGGGCTCAGGCCGGGCTTTCCTGCAGCGAGGGGACTACCTGTGGTACAGACTTTTTCTCAATCATGTCTTCTAATTTTTATCATGTACTGTTGAGCAAAATGACTTCTTGGTCAAAGTACATTCAGAGTAAATAATCACGTTTATAACATATTACATACCAATTTTAGTTATATAACATCTATGTAAACAAAATTGCTTCAAGTGTTGACATGTACAAATGTATCTAACTTGTACTACAGCTGTGTTCATGCTTGGAGGATTATTTCTGGTCTAAAATTTGTACAGCAAATATAAACTTGTCAATTGCAGGATAAAGTCTACCATTTTGTGTTACTGTGATTTTGTAACAATTTCCAATGTTCTGTTCTGCAGACACCTGACAGATTTGCTGAAGCCTCAGAGGAACAGGTAATGTTTCTTATCGTATTAATTGAAAACTGACAAAAAATCTCAATCACCATTCTCTAACACAATCCTGCATTTAAAGGTAGCAACATAACTCAGTCCTTGCCATTCATATGGTAATTTCTTGTTGTTTGTTTCTGTATGTCCAGTTGGTGAATGAGTTCCTGGCTGACCAGCGCAGCCATGCTGCCCCAACAACCTTCCGTATGGACGCTCTTATGCAGGAGATGAGAGAAATTGAAGATGCTGAGATGAGAAGTAGACTTGCTCAAGGTAACAAAAAAAAAAAACACCTAGCACAATATTTTTCTAAATCAAACTTTGGTCTCGTTCTCCTTGATTGGTAAAGTACTAGTACCTGTTACAGATTTTCTGATAATACAAAAGTTGGTGTATATACTGTAATTCACTTTATGTTCATGGTAGCAAAAGTTCACGATCTGAGAAAAATGGACATGTTCACGGAACTATATGTTCCCATTGGCGACAGGTGCAGGAAAAAGAAAGTCCAGGAATTATTTGTTAACTGTAATGATAAGTTCACGGTACAGAAGTGACAGTGAAAACAGTGAACTTAACAGTACAGTGACAAAATCAGGAATTACAGTACCCCGGTATTTTTCTTGTAGCTCCAAACGTAGCAGACCTTGCCACTGCTGCAAATTGGGCTGATGAGTACCTGGCAAAGGAAGGAACAGACCTGAACGACTCGGACTGGTCCAAGGAGTTTGTAGATGATCCTATCAGCAGATATGCAGGTAAGACAGTAACATGTGTAAAACTCTCTTTTTAAACTTTTCACACAATATTTCCATCAAAAGTATTCTTGCTATGTCACAATACATGTAGCAATTATTAGTAATAGCAATTGCATTGTGTTGTTATCTGTATGCATTGAGCTTTTACTTATATTTTTTCAATCTTCCTGATTCAGTAGACACAATATAACTACAGTGTCCTAAATCCTGATTTGTTTCTTGTTTGCTGCTAGGTCCAGATATTCTCCCATTGGAGCAGGCTGATGCCAAGTGGGCCCATGAGTATTTAGAACAAGCAGAAGATAAAACCTGGTTGGTAGCATCCTTTTTTTTGTGTGTGTAAACTGTTTCAACCTCCTTTGATTTTCTTGGAATGAAATACAATGCTAAACAATTTACATTCTGTTTTACAGGACAGAAGAATTTGTCAAATTAGAAGATGAAGCAGATACAAAGTGGTATGTTTATCTACTAGAAATTGATTGTTACACTTACAGTGAGTCTATGTCATTGTCATTGTGTACATGGTATAGTGGACAAAACTTAGGTGAAATAAGGTGAAAGGGCTTAGAAAAATGAAAATGAAAAAAGCCTCTACTCCCTCTAGATTTTCTGTAACTCGATTGTATTGTGCACAATAGCACTTTATTGCACAAATTGTGCAAACAGAACCTTAGGGTTAGGTTTCTAACCATAGTTTTGTGCTATTTGGCAATTTTTGTTTTTGCTATTTTGATCCTGACACTTAACCTAATTATCATATAGGGCCGAAGAGTTCACGGAAAAAGATAATGAACTTGCCAGAACAGCCAATCAGCTTCTGCAGTCCATAGACGACCCTAAATTAACCAACTCTGAGGTAAGCCATCTACTTTTGCTCGCTGTAGTTTTATCAAAATGTTTGCACAACTTCAAGTAATGCTGGAGTACAATGTGTACTGAGCATTTTTACTTTACACTTATTACAGCAAGAAAATTGTAGAACATTACTTGCCAAGATAGCTCTTCATGGTAGTACATGTAACTGCTATTGCTACAGGTTTGCCTGCTTTCTAGTTGCTTTTTTTATCGTACACAATGAAAATCCTTAGACAGATCAAACTGAAGAGATGAGAATAAAAGTTTAGTTAGCACAGGGTGTTGTTTATCTTACAGACAGAAGAATTTGTCTTCCCAATGTCTGTTGACAAGGTCTGCAACTTTCTCTTCATACTAGTTCTGGCACTGACTCCATAGACTTTGATCAGATTCAGAAGGAAACATCAGTGTCTATTCTTACAATATCCATCAACATTGATGCTCACTGTTAAGTGCTTGTGACAAGTGGATTTTGGAAAAAAATTATGTACACAGAAATTCCTAAATTAGGAGATTTCCCCAAGTTATTACTAGCACTTGTTACTAGTAAAAAAAATTCAGATACCTTCTGAAAAAAACAAAACAATCATGGTTCAAAGAGTATTTGAAATGAAACCTGGTTTTGAAATGCAACTTTCAACTACCGGTAATTGAAAATATATTTTGGTAACTAGAAAGGCCAATATTTGCTTTGGAGCAAATACAGCGATGGGTTCACCACATTTTACGACATGGCAGGGAAAGAAGCGATGGGTTCACCACATTTTACGACATGGCAGGGAAAGAATGGGAAACACAAGGGAAAACAATGATTTACATTGATATAACTATAATATGAAGTAAAATACAACTAAAACAACAGTTGGATAGCTATTCCCTACTTTATTGGTTAGGATTTTTAATTGCATAATGCAAACTGTTGATTTTCAAAATAAAAAAAAACGTCCATGCCCGGCATTCCACTGCTGGAGCAGGAAAGCTTGAAATACCTACCAAAACACTTGAATACAGACATACTGTCAGTATGGAAATGCTTCTGTGCAGGTGTTAATCAAGTTAAATCCCAACAGCCAATCAGCAAGAAGTATAGAGGAAAGCTGCATGCCTATTGGTTGATGCCCTGCATTCCATTGTGATGACTCATGTCCAAACGTGGTAAACAAGGCACCCTAACACAGTAATACACTATAACACAGCCAAAAAACTCAAATAAAACCATTCTAAAAGCCTGTATCACAATAATTTAAAAAACGCCTAGGGGTATTTGCCCACTGTACCTCCATACCAAATTTCAGGACCTTGGGCCCTAAAATGAAGAAGCTGAATCCATTTAAAAAATGGCAGGAGGAGAAGGAGGAGGAGGAGAAGAAGAAGAAGAAACATCAGTAAAAGCAATATGGTTTCACCACACCACTTCGTGGTGTGGTGAACCCATAAATATGTATCATTCTTCAAATTTAGCCACATTATGTGTTTGGCATCAATTTGCTGACAGGATCCCTTCTGTTCTGTTTAGTTCATGAAGTTTGTGAAGAAGATAGGCGAGGGGGATGTCACAATAGAGGGGAACCAGGTTATAGACCAGACAGCTGACAGGGAAGCTGAAAAGTGGACAGAACAGTTTGCTAGAGAACAGGTACATGCAATCAATACTGCATTGTGTTTTGTGTGCCAGTACATATGTCATACTGCCATTTCTCATGCAGTGCCGTGAAGTTTTAAAGCAGTGCCATTTCTTGCATGTACTTTGGAGTGAGGTTGCAAATGTCCACAGATAAGATACGTTCTTAACTTCCCTACCTTTCCCACAAGTTTAAATGACACATCTGTACCCCCCTGGCCACATTTAATTCTCTTGTAGCAGATCATACAGTGGCAAGGCTGTATCCATTGGCCAGAGGAATGTCCATTAGCCACCGAAGATGATTATAGATACCTTCAGTGGCTAATGGACACTCCTCTGGCCAATGGATACTGCCTTGACACTGTATGATCTGCTTGGAGATTACACATTTATTCTCTTCTACCTTTCTGTTGTTGACTTCTTCACTAACCAATCCATGCCCCCCTCCCTCCCCAGGGTTGGCAGCCAGGTACAGAAGAGGAGGAGTGGGTTCAACAGTTCCAACAGGACCCAGATGTGTTAAACTTTGACACTGACGAGGCCAGACAACAGTTAGAGGTGAGGAGGATTATCCATCTATACATATCCGTTATTGATGAACCAGCTTGGCTCTGCCATCTTATCATATTCAGGTCTTTTCGAGAAAGTTGTATTTTGATGAGCTTCTCTGAAAAATGTTTCAGTAGGATTCTTGGAGCAAGCCCTGTTCCCTAGTGCCCCTATGTTACAACAGCCCTACATTCTGACATTCATGATCAGTGCTGGGTGTGAACTTTTCCAACATAAGTGGAGTTGTCGGAACATATGTGTGTTGGTTCGTAGGGGTGTCAGAGCACAGGGATGTAACCTTAAATAGCTGCAATATTGTACAGCTGTACAATAGAGTAACGCCTTTGAAATACCCTTTTATTCTATTCAATGTGTTTAATCACAAAATTCAGCTGCATGTACATGTACATTGTACTTTACTTATGAATTGTTAGTGACACTCTTGACGCATCAAGTGTTTTTTGTAGCCTCAGTTACCATGACAGTTCTCTGTGTGAGAGTGTCCAACCTTGCTGTGTATGTCCCCCAGGCTGGCAGTGACTTCTGGGACAAGTTACAGGAGGAGTGGGACCAGTTAGCCCAGCAGGACTCCGCCCATCCCTGGCTCTCAGACTTTGACAATGCTGTAGACACTAACAAGGTGGGTGGGAGGGGGGCTTAAACTTAAAGTTCATCCAGTTACAGTCAAACCTGGCCAAGAATGCCACCCAGGGGACTGAGGTAAAGTGGTCTTCTTGGACACTTTGGCCTTGTTAGACAGGTCACTTAATGCTTGATATAGAAGGAAAAATTAGTGACTGGGAAAAAGTGGTTTTATGACCAGATGGCCAGATAGTAGAGTGGCCACGTAGGTTTCACTGTATTTCTTAGTATTTATAAAAGACAAAGGCTAGAAATGCTCAAGAGCAGTTTAGATGTACAGAACTATCCTTCTAACCAATTGTACCTTCTACTACTGTACAGGAATACACGTTTGAGGAGGAGAACCCACTGAAGGACCATCCTGATGCCTTTAAGGAAGGCATGGAGAGGTTGAAGCAGGGAGACCTGGCCAACGCTGTGCTGCTGTTTGAGGCAGCTGTACAGAGGGACCCTGAACATATGGAGGTATGTGTTGTTTTTTTCAGAAGGAATACGAGTAGTTTACTGGTTATTCTTTGATTGAGGAGAGCTGTACACTGAACATATTAAAGAACACAACAATGTTGTTTGAATAGTATGGTAGTTGCACAACAAGACTGCTTAAACTGTATATGGAAGATGAGAGGAAAATTAAAATGTTTGACAATGTATAATTGTTTGTGCTGTGTCCAGGCGTGGCAGTACCTGGGTACCAGTCAGGCAGAGAACGAGCAAGAACAACATGCCATCAGTGCACTGAAAAGGTAGGTCCGATTTTTTATCAAGATGTCGCCAGTGAGCAAATCATTTGCAGCAAAACATTTGCATGGCAAAATGATACATCAGGTAAAGTATATCTTATAAGTTAACATTTCATGTCATTTTTCCAAACATGATTATTGTGATGTGCTGTATTGTACTGTCTTTATCTGTATGTGATATGTACGTTGCAAAACCAGTTCTGGAACATTCAGCCAGCCAGCTATGACTTGGGTTTCATGTAGCTTTCTTATTTTCAAATAAAGAATGATTTTTACATCAGTGAGTAACTGAAACTTATTCCAAAGCTCTGTTGTTTGAGGTCACATGTTTTATTCCCCCTAACCCCCCAGATGTCTGGAGCTGCAGCCTCAGAACCTAACAGCCCTGATGGCGCTGGCAGTCAGCTACACAAACGAGTCCATGCAGCAGCAGGCCTGTCAGACACTCAAGTCCTGGCTGGCCAACACCACCAAGTACAGCGACCTGGTTCCACAGGGGGCAGAGGCAGCAGGGGCAACAGCCAAAGTCAGCTCCCTCATGTCAAGGTATGGCTTTGCGTGGTTTCAAATTAATTCTATATATTTATTGATTGAGATTTTACACATTTATGGAAGGATTATGGAAGGAACCGACTAAGCTTGGCCGGTCATGTTGTACGTAGTGGAGAACCAGCCAGTAGGCTTCTACTCTGGAACCCTGATACAAAGAGAAGAGTTGGACGTCCAAACATAACACTTAAGAAACTTGTTGAAACTGAAACAGGCTTGGAGGGACATGAACTGATCTCTGTGATGTATGACAAACAGTTTTGGCTAGCTAACTTTGTATGCTCCACCTCTACGGAGGATGACAGATGATGATGATGATAATGAAGGAAGTATTGACTTAACAGGTCACCTTTTTTAAGATGTCAAACCATTATAATTGTAGAAACTTTTTCTCAAACACTTTCTCCACTAGATACTGATATCAGGTCCCAATGTAAAAAAAAATAAGTGAATCAGTTGAAAGATGAAGTTTTAAACTTTGAATCTTCATTGATTGTGCTTTGTTTTAAATTTATAATTCAATAACAACTGAAGTAGGCCATATAGCATTTGCTTTTTTTGCTGTTTTAACATGTACTAAAAAAGTAACATTTGCGAAGCAAATGCATAATGTTTACCTTCGGATATGGTCTGCTCTGTTAAGTCTTACTCAAACACATTCGCATACATGTACATGTATATGGTGACAGGAGTCTACATGCCTACTATGAAATTGCTACATTATGTAACCCAACACCAGTTACTATGGTGACAGACGTCAACAAAGGAGGCCATTGGCCAGGTCAGAGGTTAGTGTTTGGAACAGAAGAAGAAATGGAGCAAAAACAATATGTTTTCATTTGGTAAACATAAATATCTGTTGTTTCCGCAGTGAGCTACATGATGAGGTTCGAGATCTGTTCATCCAAGCGGCCAGGAGAGCGCCCAAGGACAACATTGACCCGGACGTGCAGTGTGGTTTAGGGGTGCTGTTTAACCTGTCTGGGGAGTATGACAAGGCTGTGGACTGTTTCAACGCTGCCCTGGCTGTCAGACCTGAGGTAGGGATGGGAAATATCCTACAATAATGTATTGTTCAAAAGGAGTAAGACAAATACCATAGATTCTGTCACCTAATGATTATTTTCAGAAAATCATTTTTGGGAAAATTTATTGTTTAAAGATTTTTACTAATTTGTAAATTCAGTGTTTTCACTTCTTGTGTTCAGTGGTGGAAAGAGAACAAAATTTGAGCTTATCTTGTAGCATGTACACAAGTTCTTAAAATTCTTTCAATCTCTCTTCATTCATTTAGTTCAGTTGCTGTAAGAAATCGGTACATTTACTGGACAAATAATTTTGAGCTACGATGTAGTAGGTTCACTGTAAATAATACATCTCAACTACATGTACATGTAAGTTTTAACATCTATACATGTGCAAATCTAGCCTGACTGAAACTTGCTTTTTGCCGGCTTCCTGATTAGTCTGCACTTTGGGTGGCAGCTCTTTGAGCGCTGGACAAGGAGCACGGTGGTAAAATCTGGGCTGCAAAGTTCCCACATGTCATAGAACCCGAACTGTGTTCGATCGTGTTCGATCTGGGCAATTCGAATCGAACCCGCGTTCTATTTCGGGGTCACCTGCGGTCATTTACAATAAAGCGGCAAAACAAGCCTTTCTGCCTCCGTGCCTTGCAACAGATAAAAAAACAACACTTTTCTATAGATACAAATAGTTTCCTGGACAGTACATGTCCGCTATCATTTTTTGTGGATCTGTAACATGTAGCGAAGCTACTGTCGTATCCTTGGGTGACCTTGAATACTGTAATGATTCTTTACACCAGTACGAATAACACAATGCAGACTTTTGGTCGACATGACACGTCTGCAAAACTCGTTTTAACCTGTAAGCATGGCGAGTCAAGCATACCCCATTCACGGCTCAAAATGACTGTTACAGTTGTCCCGAAAATCGTGTTTTAGGGATTTTTGAAAAATGGCCTCAATTTTGAATTATGGGTAATTTAGTGCGAAAAATGTAAAAAAATATCATTTTTTCACCAATATGTCGACAAAAACTAGACTTCAAATCAGAAATTAAAAAATCCCTAAAACACGATTTTTGATCTTATTCCTATTCGTCGAAAAATATAAAAATCGGGGATCTGGGGTGACATACGTAGCCAGGTTAAAACGATGTTTGCCTAAAAACATGGCATGACTTGTGGTCGGAAACCCGAAAAAAAATCGTCTTTCGGAGCGAAATTTTGAAAAAACAATGATTTAACATAAACAACTAATATTAAAAGGATGTTAAGTCAATAATTTCATTTTAATTTGACAAAACTTACCATTAAATCCTTTTTGTTTATTTTCAAGTGTTTTACTGGTAATCCAAAACAGGCCAAAATAGCGTCTTGTAACCCGATACCTTTTAGAACGCGCCTAGCAATGGGAAAGAATACCATAGTGACAGACCGCCGTGGAGCTTGTGTTCACAGGCTAGTGAAAATCGGAGCAACTAAATTTTTGTGTCCTTGTACAGGATTCGTTGCTGTGGAACAGACTGGGCGCCACCTTGGCCAATGGGAACCGTAGTGAGGAGGCGATCCAGGCGTACCGGCGCGCCCTGCAGCTGCGCCCGGGGTTCGTACGCAGTCGGTACAACCTCGGCATCAGCTGTGTCAACCTCGGAGTCTACAAGTATGTCTCAGTCCTTCTTTTGTAATAATTGCATTCATTTTGGAATGCATTGATTTTGGAAGAACAAATGAAGGACAGTTGATTATATGAAGTAACAGGGGTCTCCCCAGAAATTTTTACGGGAGAGGTACTCTCTAATCGGTTGATGTTGCAAAAAAAATCAGTGAATTTTCATGAAGATTTTAAGAGATAACCCAAAATTTTAAAATATTGGGAGAGGCGCTAGGATTTTGGGGAAAGGGGTAGCACCCTTGCTTCATTGCTTGGGCAGAGCCCTGAAGTAAGAACTCATAATGCTCACATCCTATCTCAAATTGTTGCAAATGAGAGCAAACATCTTCATGTTCCTTTGCCTTTTGTAAGAATAAATGATTGGGAGACTCTTACCCAGTATTTGCATTACATTTATGTTCTTGCAAGCTACATTTTGTAAGTACAGGTCAAGGTGATAAAGACTTAGATAAATGGAGAAATTAAAAAAATTCTTAAATTTGTAGTAAGATAAATAGAGAAATGGTACAAAACGCTAATGTTCAAACATGTCTATGTTTCACAGGGAAGCAGTAGAACATTTCTTGACAGCCTTGAACATGCAGAGAGCGGGGAAGGGTCCGAAGGGAGAGGCAGCACTCATGTCAGAGAACATCTGGAGCACGCTTCGCATGGCGATATCGCTCATGGGGCGGCCGGAACTGTATGCGCACTGCGACCGCAAGGACCTGGACGCACTCAACAGCGAGTTTCGTCTGCACGAGGTGGAAGTCTAGATCTGAGAAGCGCTTTTCCGCCATATTGGAGGAAGAACCAACTGCATCATACAGTGATTCCCACAAGAGAGAGACTCAGAGTTTGAAGGGACTGTACAGTATTTGGGGTACGACCAATACTGTTTCAAGTGTGATCTGTATTTATAGGAGGGGACTCTGGAAGTAAAATAAGTAAACATCTGGGCACAAATCATGAAAAAGGGCAAAGGCTTGATGTACCATACTTGTCAAAATTGCAATTATGTTGTACATGTACCTGTGTTCCTTAGGCCACACCAATTTAATTTCTTGGTTAACGGATTTTTCTAGAAAAATAATGGAGCGGGCGGGCGAAAAAAAAATAAAATAAAAACAGACCTAGGCATCCTACTATGGTCCAAAATGGTACAATAGGAGCCATGAAGTCAACACACCAGGCTGGTTCAAAATTTAAACAATGAATTTTGAACTTTTAATGATACCACTGCATTGAAAGATGGAATAACTGTAACAACTAAGGATGAAAGGGACTGTTTTCAACTGTTCAGGGCAAAATATGCGCATTTTGCAGTTGATTCTGAATTTTTAGTTTTATTTGCAAATCAGAAAAAAATGAAGCGAGCGAATCCGTTAACCAAGGAGTTAAATTGGTGTGGCCTTATGTTGTACCTGTGCAGACTAACCTTTCAAGCCACGTTGCAGGCATTTGGGATAAAAGTTAATTTTCTGGACATGTTCATATCTAGCAATGTCAGGATTACTAGTATGCACTGTGTATGTTTTAAAATTCTAGATGATCCTGCACAAATATTATATTGCTTTTTGTAAACATGGTGATCATGACAGATAAGAATTATGTTAAAAATAATTTGCTAATTTATTATACATTAATGCAAAACCTAACGTTGTTATGTGATTGTCATGCTTGTAATACAAGGTTATGACCATAATGTGGTCAATTGTCTGATCTGCAGTACTACAGTGTCCTGCTAGGTGTCATGCTTAGTATGGATCACTAACTCATGTTAGATCATGTTACTGTAGGCAATGAGTGTGGTGTAGGGGTTCATGGTGGACAAATATAAGAAAATATGTAAATCTTCCAAGATATTAGAGTGAAATTTTAATATCTGGTGGGTTTAGATTAAATATCTTGGACCAACATTTTAGGGTCTGTGACATGTACATATGATGCAAAAATTTATATTATTGCATAACTTTGCTGTGATTATTTTGGATAACTTCAGAAAGTTCAGATAGTTGAGATTCAGAGTGCTACATGTAAGACTACTTTATGTTTGTAAATTGTCAGTTGAATTTGTTTATGGAATGCTAATGGGAAAATGAGAGCTGAAGAAGGTTGAGTGATTATTATGGAAGAATATGTTAAATACATATCTTACCATTAAAACTACCAAGCCCCATTTGTAACTAAAGAAACGTAGACATATGTATACATGTATGCAATAGGGGTATTTTTTTTTTATTTCACAACGAAATATGAATGTGGAGAAAGGCTTTGCTCCCTAAATTGTCAGGTCTGTTACTGATGCTTCTGATTGTAAAGAGAATTCACAGGTTATCTGGTTTTACTTCTAGCCATTATTAAACAAAACTCTTGTCCAAATTTTACAAGATGCGCTAAGAGCTATTTGTATCAGCTATGAAACTGTCTCACAGGTCTACAAATTTCCTCATGCAAAAATGCAATAAAAATAAGCTTAGTTTTCAGGTCTGACTCTTGTATGTAATTCCTATTCATTGAATGAGACACCTGTACTGCATACACATGTAATACCGGTACACAGCATTATGGGTTCAAGCTTCCTGTACATATTGATGTTTTGGATAGATACCTGTATTTCTGTAGAAAGTAGTAATTGTTCCTGCAGAAGGACACTGATGGTGTAGGTCCATCATGTTTCCCCACCTGAATCAAATGTCTACTCTTTGAGAAGACTTGTACCACTTGTAGAGGCTTCCAGACACATTCTATGCTTTTTTTCATGTTAACATACAGTTATGGGATAATTTGTAGTAACTTAAAGACAAAACTAGAGTCTAGTAGTCCTTCTCCTTGATCTCGCGGAGTCTCTGCTCCTTGTCGCGCTGTTTCTTCTCCTCCCGCTCCTCCCAAGGCGTCTTCTGGTCCCTCAGGTTTGGAAATTTCTCCACCATCTTGGCCCACCAGCGCCGCTCAGCATGCGCCTGTGCAAACTTCCTCTTCTGCTGCTTCTCCTCTCGCAGTCTGGGAGGGAAAGGAGAAAAAACAGTTTGGACAAGAAGCCAAAAATTTGGCAAGCACTGACTAAGGAGTCTATACGCCCCCTGAGTGGCTGTCTTAGTCGAGTTTGACTATACATGATGTAACGAGTAAACACCTGAGGAGTAGAAAACTACATTTGCTCACAGTCTGGTAGGAAAAGAAGGAAAAACAGTTTGGAATAGAAGCTGAGAATTTAGGAACATCACCAGACCGTCAAAAAAATGGACGCAAGTGAGCTACAAAAGTAGTAGAACCTATATGCATCTTGCTTGTTGCTGTCAACTTACCCGTTAAAGATTGAACCGATACATGTACCTTCTATAACTTGCCATACCCTGCCAAACACGACTACACTACTGTTACTCTTCATTTTGTGCTGTATAATGTTTATGCGTCACATTATCTATCATTGTCTTTTCTGTCTTCTAGGAAGTCTAAGAATTTAGTAAGGATTCTATAGGTCCCCTGGGTGGCTGTCTTAGGCAAGTTTGACTGTGCATGTATACAGTAAATGGTGGGATACACAGTAACACATGTGGAGTAAAACAACACTTTAATACTTGAAAAACTACTGTATTTCTGCTGACCACTAACTGTTGATCCCCTGGTCCTACCTGATAAAATACTCCACAAAGGTGGGGAAGGTCCAGTATCTCTTGTTGAAGGACGTGTTCATCCACACTGGCATGGGGTACGGTTTGAAGCGCCGGTAGTACTTCTGTCCGAAGACATTGAAGAGGAATTTCCCAGGAACTTCCTCCTCCCTGCCCGTTTTCAGCAGACGCAGCGCCTTTTCTCGCTCCAACAGGACTTCAATCAGGTGCTCCATGGACTCTGTCACCTGAACAGAAAAGAGAACTTCATTTTTCAGAACAGTTTTTAGAACTGATCTGCAAGATACAGATAACTTTGGTATTCGTCTTTGTAAATACATGTACTTTGTATCATCAAATATCAGCAGGCAACTCAGCATCTTATTGTTTGTTTGTTTGTTTGTTTCATTTCTTTAACCAGGAGTACATATTACGTCACCTGAGGGTGCTTTTCAATGTGATACAAAACATCATTTAGAATATGAATCCAAAAGGAACTGATGCTCTATTTACATTGCACACAATGTACATCATTTTTAATGTGAGACATTAAACATATGATTTGCAGTGAAAATATTTCAGTTTGGGAAGTCTTGCCTTGTCGAGCCGTTCTTCGCTGGGCATCCTCTCCACCTGTCTGCGTGCCTCGTGTTCCAGAGTCAGCAGCATGTTCCTCTCCTTCAGTAACACGTACCTGTGGTGTGGAGACTTTTTATTAGTCTTACCTATCTGAACATTAAAACATGGACATTCAGGGAAAAATATCAAGGCACAAGACAACAGCTCAAGAACACGTAAACATATGTATGTACGATGTTGTTAAAATTGTTCAGACCTTAGTACGAGGGGTGTTCAAAAAGTTCTCGGCCTCACCTAGAAAATAAAGGTCAAACTCCTATTCTTTGGTATAGCTGTATACTATGACGTCTTACATCACTGCACACAAAAATTCAAATTTTTGTATTCATTAATGAGCACGTGACGCCCCATGAAAATGGGGCGGGTGAGGGCAAATCTCAAAATGGCCGCAAAAGAAGCGTGTGCTGTGATCAAGTGTATCGATAAAAAAGAAAGTCTCCTAAGGACATCCATGAAAACATGGTCAAGACACTTGGTGATGACTCCCCTTCTTATTTAAATATAAAGAACGGGGTTACTAGCTACAATCACGGCAAGGAGAGCACAAAAGATGAACATAGGTCAGGATTCCACAAATCAGCACCACGGACAATCCAGTTGAGGCCATCCATCACATGGTAGTGAATGACAGAAGTGAGACTGTCCAACATGTAGCAGGTTCTTTGGCCTGTGTTATGACTCAGTTCACAATATTTTGTCGAACATCCTGGAGATGAACAAACTGTCTGCATGGTGGGTGCCTCGAATGTTTTTTGAACATCAGACGTTAAACAGGCTTGACATTTCGAGGAACGAATTCAGTCCAATTCATGCAGTTTCCTCAAAACATTTGTCACTCAAGATGTGCTGGGTTCACCACTTTCACCCCGAATCAAAACAGCAGAGCAAACAATGGATAAAGAATTTTTCCCGCCCCCCAAAGAAGTTTTAGCGAGTTTCGTCCGTTGACAGGGTTTTTGCCTCTGTTTTCTGGGACAGTAAGGAAGTAATCATGATTGACTACATGCGAAGGGGTTAAAGCATCAATGGGGAGTACTATAAAACAGAATTACGACATTTGAGGGCAACGATCAAAGAGAAAAGGAGAGGAAAGCTCCGAGCTGGCGTGATGAAAATGCACCTGTCCACACAACACAGGGGTCAGCGACAACAGCAAACGAATTTGGGTTTGCAGTCTAACCCCACCCTTCCAATTCACCTGACCTAGCACCCTCGGACTTCTACCTGTTTCCTAAACTCAAGTTCCACTTACGTGGTCAACGTTTTGATGGTAACGATGACGTCATTTATGCGGTATAGGCCAATCTGGGGGGTCCAGATGCAACCTTCTTCCACAAGGGGAAAATAAAGCTGGAACATCACTGGACCAAATGCATTGCAGTTAGAGAGGACTATATTATAAAATAGTTTAAGAAAAATTTTACTGCCCTGACGTTTTCTAGGTGAGGCCGAGAACTTTTTGAACACCCCTCGTACATGTATTTGTCTCACTCCCAGTTAGTTTTACGTGGAAGAATGCTGTACTCACCACAATTTCCACAGGTCCACATTACTTTTCTGTCGGAGTTGGTCCAGTGTCCAGGCATCACCTATAGTGGTAGACACAAGAAAACAGTCATGGTTCCAGTTCCAGTCACATCTAAGATGAAAGTACATGATTTGAAGGCATAGCAACTTGGAAAGCTTTTTGTATTAATAAAGTGAGAAAGGCCTTCTATCACGCATTAGTTTAAAAAAAAAAAGCACATTGATGGCAAAGTTGGAATATGAAAATTGATATGCATTTGAAAAAGCTATTTTGCTCACCATGTTTCACGTTTTTCTCTCCCCAATTCTTGGGATCGTCAAAGAACTCTTCTGCCCCATGACAGAAAGAACTGGTGTGGAGAGCTTTCGTGTGAACTAGTGTTATGGCCTGTACACTTGTTGACTGAGTTGGTGTTACTTGTAGTAGTAGTTTCTGGAAGGTCCTTCTGTGGAATATTCTTTGAGGTGTTAATACAGCTGTTATGGACCTGAAAAGGATCAGCAAGAAAATACTGTTAAAGCAAATATAATTTATTTAGACTGTCAAAGTGTGTTCAGTGTTTAATTTTAAACAAATGTTTGGATCCCTTCAATTCAGTATTTCTACAGCAAAGTGTTTTTGAGACTTGACAACATTAAGGCCTAGAAGTCTGTATGCTCTTTATCTAGGGCAACAACCTAGACTACAAGTTTGCCTTATATTTTACGCTTAAACGCCCGTCAGATACATGTAGATGCTACATACCATGAACTCATGGATGCCCCCCTCCCTACCACACCTAAATGTGGGCGCCTCAATCAACATTCCGAAAATTTCACACACTTTTCTGCATGTTCTGTTGATCTATAGACTTCAAACTTACCTTGACAAAAATCTCGCTCCCAGATATTGTCTCCCTATGTCGAAAATGCTCCTTGAGTTTTGCAGACCATTTTTACACATGCACGCCGCCATTTTTGTGCTCTGGTAAAGGTCAGTTGAAAGCGCCCCTAGACGGTCCGTTGAAGTACTGCAGATAGCTTGGCAGACTGCAGTACTAGTTTTGACCGCTACAGGACGGCGCTGTTGAGCCATGAGCCAAAGCAGAAGATGGCGTCCTGATGCTAGTAGTGTCTGTTGACCTCTGTTGTGTCAACGACAAGCTTTCTACAGAAGTCTGACCAGGTGTTTAGCCGCATTTTCAACGACAGAACATGGACAGAAGTCAGAAGGAAGAGAAGTGGTTGGCGAGAGAGATTCAACTCAGTCAAAAACATGCAGAATTGTAAGTATTGCATCTCCATATGTCGTACATGGCAAATTACAAGATAAATTGCAGGTAGGCAGGCATTGCATTTATGCAGGTTCAGAGTAGGGCAGGGCTGAGTCGTTCGGTCAGGTAGGACATCTTTCCAAAGGCTTTATACATAACAGTTACCTAAGGTTTTATATTCTTATGTCTGCATTTCCCTGACACACTAAAATAAAAATATATTCTTGATTAGCCTTCACTTGTCTTCCCACTTCCCTCCTTCCAGTCATCTCCCCATCATCCACCAAATGTCACCAATTATTTCTCATTCTATAGAGTAAAAAAAGAAATTCATTTTCATCGTCCTTCACAGTAAAGTAACATGTCACCTAATGAAATTCCATTCCATTTGCAACTTTTTGCATCAGACTTGCCAAGAGAGAACAGTTGCTGCATCTGTCCCAGAGTGAGCTGAACAGTTCTGAACACCGAGCGAAGGTACATCAGGCTCACTGGACACATGTACAACAGAGGAACAAACAACTTCTACAGGTGATCAATCATTGGACAATAAGCCTATTTCTTTGTTCTCACCAATACCATAACATCCCAATTTTGGGGTAACTTTGTTAGCAACTTTTAACAATGACAAAAATTTAGCAATCAACATCCTTAAGTCATATATTACTAGTAATGTTAGCTGTCATAATGTCATGAAGTAAACATCTTACACCATGTTAATTCTTAAAGGCTTATGAAATAATATCATTGGCATAATTATACAATATGTTATAAAAAATTTACAATGTGTGGATTTGATGTTTTACCATGTATTCTCTGTGCTTATTCATTCATTTAATTTTAGGACATGAAGAGAAGTCAGGTGGAAATGAAGGACCTGGCACGCCAGCCTCCCAATGTCAAGTTTACTGAACTACAGGTAAAATGGAAATGTCCTAAATTTCAAGTTGTGCCCCTAAATTCTGATGCAAAGTTTTGGAAACACAAGTTTTGGTAGATATTTTTCTATAGCCATCTAGATTCTATGATTTTATCTGCTTGGAAGTTCTTTAAAAGCTGTGAAACTGCCATGATTGCATACTTGGTAGATACTGTAATTGTAACAATGTACAATGTATCACTCTAAGCTTCCCCAAGTCTGAGTTTTCTGAGAAAATTGCAGAATTACAAAAATTGCAGAACTACAAAAATAAACTTGTAAGATTAAGATGTTTGTTTGTTCCTCTCCAGACGATGTACTGGACAACAGTTCAGGACCAGCTGCCTCAGTGGAAGAAACATATGAAGGAGAAGGGACAGACCATCAACAGTCCTTATCACTAGGAGTAGTTTTAGGGGAAAACTTTGTGACGCTTCATGTTGATACACTTGTAAAATGTATGAACATGTATTTATTCATAATGACGTTGGTAGAGTTTGGGGACAGTAATTTGAATTTCTATGCAATGTAGAAAATACCAGTGTGTGTATGTAGAGATATTAAGGACCAAATCAATGGTAGAGTTTCAAGATAGAAAGTACAAAAAACATGGTTACACACAGTGTGTGATGTAAATAACCAGAGTATTAATGTTGTATATTTTTGTACAATTTGAGAATTTGTGGCACAGTTTTTCATGCATTTCTTTTTCGAATGAATATATACTAGTAGTTCTAATGTACATTCTAGGTTCCAAATATATTGTTGATTTTATATTAGTTAGAATGTAGCATGCTATTAATTAACTAGGCCAATTTTGGATAGCGGTGCACTTTTGTATAATGTCTACATTCTACAATATTTGCCTAAATCTAATGTGATGGATTTATTGTATGTAGAGCTGTGTACCGGTACGCAGTACCGATACTGTACCGGAAAAATTGATTAGGTACAGGTCCAAAATACCTAATCCCTCAGTACCGGTACTGTACCTAAACAATTTCACACTAATTTTATGCCTATTTGTGACCTCAAATGTGTAAATAGCTGGTCCACAATGGGTCCCTGTGTAAGGACAGTGTGTTCATGAAAACAAAAACAACTTAGTTTTGCCTATATTTTATCTGAGCATTCGCCATAAACAAAGAATAAACCTTAACTATCAAGTTTATTTATGTTTTTTTGTTATTGAAGGAGTTCAGAAGAGCATATAAATTGGTCGAATTGTTCAGGTACAGGTTCAGGTCCGGACCTGTACCTAAACCTGTGTACCTGTACCTGTACCTGTACCTGTACCTAAAATTTGTTTAGGTACACAGCTCTAATTGTATGCAATGTTAATGTTGTTCTCAACTGAAAGAACTTTAATAGAAATACAACTGTTTTTTATACACTTGCCATTAATTGGTCATACTTGATTTTGCCATACTTTGGTCAATGAAAAGCCTAAATCAATTAAATTTCCATTATTAGAAGTTTTACTGACATCTTGATTTCTCTAGTAACACACACTGTAATTTATATACTAAAAGTCAGGGAGAAGGGAAGATATTGATACATCTCATACATTTCGACTTTGACTTTAACATCTTATAGTCAGGACCAAGGACAATATATAGACGAAAGTAGGATGCTCCATGAATCCATCAAGCATTGAGGCAATGCTTTTTCCTCAAGGCGTAGCCAAAATAATATTTACGCCCCCATACTGAAAATGGTATGTTCCACTTTCCCCCGGAAAATCAAACGCATCAAAACGTAAAGATGTAAGGAGAGATACCATCCGTAAACTGTTTCTGCAACTCAATATGATAAGACAACAGACTTGATATAATGTCTGTATCGGTTGTATATGAAAATTGAATAGTTCAGAATAGCAACGACTCTATTGTTGAAGAAATATCATTGCTCATTACGTTTTGCTGCCTTCTAAGCCCAAAGTCACTTCCGCCATTTTGACAACAAAGCTGCAGACTGGGGTCCATCAATCACCCAGCGAGATCCCAGCCACAGACGGGTTTTCTCCGCATTTTCCTCCTTTCCTGCCTCGCCAGGTAGGAATGTGACATTCCAGCAAAAATCTGGAAGGTAAGTTGAGCCTTTTCTGACCTAAATCTCGCTTAAAACGCGCGCGAAACAGTCCGGAAAGCGAGGGGGTTGTGCCCGCTTTATCGCCCGTCTGCCTGCCGAGACAGCCCGGTCCCGTCCCCAGACCGCGGCACGACTTGCTTGGCTGCTTCCCGCTAATAGTTAGGTACTGACTGGTGCCTGCTGGGCGCTGTGGTGGGTTCCCTGTCCTCCTGAAATATCCAGACGTCTTCGTCTTTGGAGATGTGAGTGTTGGAGAAACGCCTCTTCAAAACAGCCCAGGCCGGTAACGTTAAATTCTGCACCCACCCACACACTCAGACATTTTGTGTAGACGAACGTAAATCTTTATTTTAGTGCCAGAGCCCCATTTCACACCAAGAATATCCTTTGATTTCCTATTCCTTGAATATCCTTTCATTGCATAATCAGTGCAATCTCTGCTTGAAAATATGAATATTGACAAATTATTTTTTCGCCAGAATTATATTTCTGTTCCTTTCCAAAAACAATTTGTAATGCAAACTCAAGGGACCTGGCCTGACTTGGTATCAAACCATCGCAGCATATCATAATAAACAACTGATAATATCAGATTTTCACACATTTCAGCTTATCTCATTGTACAGTTGTACATACCCTAACATGTCAAGAAGAAAAAAAGATAGTAGGAGTCAGACTTTCACTTCCAATTAGTTTTCCCTCATCAAAAAATGATTTGTTGACTTGGTAATTTGCATGGTAATTCTGCTCAATGAGCTGTATTGAGTGAGCCATTCTGAATGGTGGGGCACCAGAGGATGGGTAGTTGGGATGATTGAACAATTCTGCCAGGCAGTACCAGGTCATACCACAGCCTCTAATCAAGAGAATTGATGGAGATTTGGGAATCAGGTTGAAAATTGAAGCATTATGTACCTTCTAGCTATACATTAGCATGCAGAAAATGTCTTGCTAATCCTAATGCATTTAAATTTTCTGGAATGAACAAACCTTGTAAGAAACACATTATTTTTGCGAAAAGGCTTCCAGCTCAGAAGGGTGGAGAGGTAGCACAGTTGTATTCATGCTTCCAGGAGGGATGGATGCATGTTACTGATTTGCAGTTTGTGCCATTTTTGATTTGAAACAGATGTAAACAATGACTCTTGGAATTTAGGGAAGTTCTCTATTTTTTTTTCCTTGGTGAAAATTTGCTCTGCACTCATTGCCTTTTAAAAGGACCATTTAGGGGCACTTTAGACTGACGACGGTTAAATAGTCGTACGAATGTTTATCGTCAAGATGTTGCCGGCGACGGTATTTTACAACCGTCTAAACACGATCAAAATAGTCGCACGACGGTAATCCTTGAATCGTCGTCACTACCACCTCGGACCCTATCGTGCGATCCTTCAGCGGGGGGTCCGAGGAGGACTTTCCACCGTCTAAAGTGAACCGTCGCCGGCGAAGGAAGTTGGAGGTCATTGGCCTTATGCAAATAAGCCCGCAAGCGTTATTTCATGTCTAAGCACATCGCCAGTATCATTAAATGCCGTCAAACCAAAGACTTTATATCGTCATACGTGTCTAGTACAATCCCCAGCCACCAATCGCTACTTCTCCGGTACGAACCGATCCGCCGATCCACATTTCCCGGCCAATATAGCCAGGCCGACGGCAGCACCAAACGCCGGGTTCAAACCCGGAGTATATTGCCCCGCTTGGTACATGTGCCTCATACCCCTTCTTTGCTGGGCACAAACTAGGAGTCTCATCCACAGAACAACGAGTTAAAAGCAGAATAAAAACAATCTTCTGCAGCATGCCGAAAAAAAAGGGGTTCTCTCGCCATTTTGAATTGGCGCGCGGCGTGCCCTCCTGCGCTGCGGGTGTCCGTCACACTTCCTGGTCATGTGTCTAAAGCCAGCCGTCGCCCACAACGATTGTCGTGCGATCGTATACCGTCGTCAGTCTAAAGTCGGCCTTAGACAAAATCCTGCAGCCATCTCAGTAGTCATTGTCTAATCCATGTGGACTACTGGATATCAGTTACCAAATCTGGATTAAAAACATGTGCGGAAAAGATTACAAGTGAATATCACATACAGTCTGAGCATGCAGGTCAGTTTATTAGCTTGCAAGCTAAGAACGTTGTGATTGACTTATGTCACCTTGTTATTTGCTGGCAGGTTTTGAAATTAAAAGAAAAGTCCAGAAAAGGATACTGTTGCATGCCTGATAAAAAAAAAAAAACGCTGCACATGCGGTATTCCCTTCCCTTGTTCCTGTTTACTTTATGTTAATTTCAGACTCACTTGCCATGACAAAATTCAGTCTTAAAACTTAATAGTGCTTATTCTAATTAGTAGAATGTTATGTTACAGCATGCATTGATTCCATCCCTTGTGCCATAACGAAATGGGCATTTCAATCATAAGGAACTGGTAGGGCCAAGGAAAAAAAATGTTGTGTTTCCTGTTTCGGTCCTGAAAAAATTAGGGTCGGTAGGTAGGGATTATCTTATTTTATTTTTATTTTTTATTTTTTTTTAAACTTTGCTGATTGCTATGTTTATATATATAGGCAGAACATGATGAAAAATCGATTGTGCAATATATTTCATCACTCAGGTACTCAGGTGTCAGAAGCTCAGACTAGTATTTTTCAATCTGCAGATACAAATGGAAGCCATTTCCTGCAACTTCAGGTTTTGTTCTTCTGCAAAATATGGAAAAAAAATCTTGAAGCAAAAGCTATTCTTGCATGCAAACACCATCATTACATATGCTTCTGATGCCATCTTGCCAGCTTTGGTTATTTTCACCTACTGTCCTGGAGATAAGATACAAGCAGGTAGGTACTAAGGTTAGAGTACACTACACTTCAACCATGTACAAAAAATAAACCAGCCAACAATGCAGGACACGAACTGCCAGAAAGAAATTTTAATATTTGGACCACACATTCAGAAAATACTGCTGCATTCTGAATTTGAAAGAAAAAAATATCAATCTGCACAAAATTTTGATTGTTTTCTATCCCTTTGTTTGCCTAAAATCGATAGTGTGATTGTATCAATTTGAAACCTCCGAAAATTAGCTAAATCGGCGATTTAAAGTTATTGCGCAATGGACGTGCTCTATGACCTTCGACCTTTTGGGGTCACGCAGGCGTCAACACCGCCCTCCCCATGCCTTGCCCGTCCATTTTCGCGGGCAAATTTCTGCTTTTTTTTAGAGGTTTTGTGACCTAAAAACTCACATCAGAGGAAAAGTAAACCACAGACGATATTTTCATGGTAAATATCGCTAAAATGGACCAGGCATTTTTCTGTCCCGTTGCCGATTTTGCCGATTTTCGCCATGTGCTTATATTTGTTTACGTCGATAGCTACCTTTCCTCATCCGGCTTTATGGGCAAATTTCCGCTTTTTTTAGACGTTTTGGGACTAAAAGACCGACAAGGAGGAAAAATAAATCATATACATCATTTTTATAGGAAATACCGCTATCATGGACCAGACATTTTTCTGTCGCGTTGCCGAATTTTTGCGGCCGCCGCATGCTGATGGTGCAGTACGGTAGGGAATTTTCTACGATTAGTTCGTAAACGTATCAGCTTTTAAACTTATTTTCGGAGTCGAGGGCTTTGTTTTACAAACAAATCAGACAATTAGCGTTGTTTACACGACTTCAAAACGCTAGCGGGGCGCCCGATGTTCCACCAATGACAGCGATTCTCTCGGTAGCGTCGTGCGAAATGTTTTGGTTCATCAATATGCAGGGATCCACACAAAAATAAGGCTAGGGTCGGCGTTTTTTTTAGGGTCGGTCGGGAAACAGGAAACACAACATTTATTTTCCTAGGCCTAGCATAGTAAAGTGAGCTTGGATAGTGGCAGTATGACCAGCAGCCTAATGTTCCCAGTGTCACCAGGGGTATACAGTGCAATTTTACGGAATACAGTGCAAGTTAACTAGTATACAATGCAATTTTACGGAATACAGTGCAAGTTTACTAGTATACAGTGCAATTTTTCGGAATACAGTGCAATTGACCTTTAGTCAAATCACTACATACTACACACAGGGCATGTTACTACACAGGGATCATTTCGAATTCGTCATCTCGAAAAAGACAGAATTATGTGAGTCAGCGGCGTCCGCCATCTTGAAAATGAAAAAAGGCAGGGGAAGCCGGGTCCAAGTCACATGATCCAACGTCATTGGTAAAATGCACTGTATTCCGAAAAATTACACTGTAAACTAGTTAAATTGCACTGTATTCTAATACGATTGCACTGTATTGCGTAAAGTTGCACTGTATACTAATACGATTGCACTGTATTCCGTAAAATTGCACTGTATTCTGTAAAATTGCACTGTATTCCGTAAAATTGCACTGTATACTCTGGCACCCCTGGTTACCATCTGAGAAGTGAAATGCATGGTGCACTTTGGTTGGACCCTGCCAGTCTGACCATGTTCACGTGATTGATGACCAGAGGGAGAAATGAAAGCTGTGCAGGTGATTGTAGATAGATTGGCATCATTCCAGGTTTTCCCCTGGTACCAGTACAGTAGTAATTTCACCTTTCCATGAAGGATGGAGTACCAGGTTGTCATGGTAGACATAAGTGCTTATGCAACTAGAAACCACAAAAATGTACAGGTAATTTTGGTGGGACTGGCCACTGTAGCCTGGTTGCCAGACCAATATTACATGTATTAACTATATAGCTCCAGAGTCTTACATCCTCTCCACAAATAGGATGTAGGACTCGGGAGCTATGATAGGTCTGGTATCCAGGCAATGGCCACTGTAGTCTGTAGTACATTGAAAACTACATTGAAAAGTAGCTCTGCTCTGCCTATTTATCTATAACCTAGGCTCAACTAGGCAGATATAGGGGGGCCCGCAAGCCCTTTTCCGTAGAGCGTAATCAGCTGTTTTAATTCTACGTAGAGCGTAGACGGACTGCTCTAATATTTTTGCGTAGAGCGTATTCTGCGTTTTAATTCTATGTAATACGTTGTAGCCACGTGGAATTTATCGTAAAGCATAATTGAGAGGTTTCCGAATTCAGCGTAGAGCGTTGTCGGGATCCCCCCTTGCAGGGCCATCATATAGCATGATCTATTATTTGTACAATTTTTTTTTACATATACCAAGGACACTGTCAGTGTGTATAATGTCCTTGCATATACCTACCCCCTGGTGCACATCTTTTAGACAGCCACCCCCACTCCATCTTTTCTTGTGGGAAACTGCACATTTGGATTTTATTTATGAGAACTTTGTCAGGCTGTGTGTTCGGTATGTTTACGTTTTGTGACAAGAGAAACAGTTGTTTAGATGTTTTCTCGCACTGCAGTAATGGACCGTGAAAAGGTGTAAAATTCTAACACTGGTTAATAGTCCATAAATAACAAGTGGTTAGGTGTCCTTTTGTGTAGTGACACCCACAAAAAAGTCGTCAAACCAACGTCGTAATCCACTCCCTATTCTGCATGGTTTGTTCCAGAATTTCCCACAATATTGTCTTTTCCACATGGGAAAACACCTTCTTTTGTGTGAGACTTCTGGCATGTTTGGAACAGCTGTTATGATGTGTATCTCCAACATATTGTGAAGAAGGTATGTCTGTGATAGCCAAGGGCCTAGGAAGTAAGGAAAATAAGGCCCGATTTAGACTAGAAACGGTATACCGTTTCGAAACGGTACGGAACGTTTCGCCACAGAAAACGGTTCGTCTTTAGACACAGAGGCGGAAGCGTTTCGGGCCGCCCGTGGCGCAGGATGTTTCTGACCCACAGTGACCTATGATGACCTCCCCGAGCCGCTTCTACGGTTTGCCTCATTGGCCGCATGATACTTGTGTTTCAGGGCCTTGAACTTCGCCCGAACCTGCTTTGGGGTGCGTAAATACCGCTCAGCCGCCAGCCCGTCCACAAGCATCTGTATGCCCTCCCTATTACGCGAGGTCTCCAAGCGGGATTGTATAGTTTGATCGGCCCACAAGCTGATCAAGCAGCAGATCTCTTCTTGGGTCCAGACCCTCCCCTGGCCTTCTGCCATCCCCCCAGACATACAGGATGACGAAAATTCGAGAAATACATGATATAAAATGGCGAAAATGGACACAATCGAATATGGCGCGAATCTACCAGAAAACGGACGCGCGCGGGCTTATTAGCATGTGATTAGCATATGACATGTGACCTGGTTTACCGTTTCAAGAAACGCTTTGACTTTAGACCTAGCAAAAAGCGTTTCGGGCCCCCCGCTGAAGGGTTCTGAAACGGTCGAAAACCACGATGGAGGTGGTTTTCGGAAACGGTCCGCGAAAACCCATAACAAACCGTTTTTTCCTCTTTAGACCGGGAACGGTTAACCGTTCCGAAACGTTTCCCTGGCCAAAACCCCTTAAGCGTTTCTAGTCTAAATCGGGCCTAAGTACCTGTAGATGCTAATCAGGTGCAGACATTTTGCTTTAGGGGAAAACTGGTCAGAAACGTGTCTACTGGTAATTAACATTCTAGTTCAGTCAACATGAATTATTGTGAACATTATATATGTAAGAAAAGCTACAGTACTGTCATTTTTCTTCCTTGCATGGTTGGTTTGAAGGTTTTTTGGCACCTTTTCAAAGATGTTACTGCATTGTCAGTCTGAGGTATACAAACTTGTGAGATTGACATTTGGACATCTCTCCTCCTTCCCCTTGTATCATTCTTGGTTCATCCCTAAAACTGCAACATTTAATATATGATATTCTGTGACGCAAGCCTTACTCTTTTACTCCTGGAGATACACCATTGAAGCTGAACAACTTGTGAGTTATAGGATATAACCTTGGGAAAATCTCCTTTTTACAGTCCCATTCTTCTGTCAAGTATCTTCTAATGACCTCTTTACCCCATCTCGTGACCTCTAGGCTTTGAAAAACAAATCTTGTAATGGCAGGCCTTACTGAATAGCGGTGGTGATCAAAGTAGAAGGGTTGAATAGCACCAGACACCATAATGTCTTTGCCCTGGTGGCCGGACTGTAGGCCTAATGGTGTGTGTGTGGCAAACATGTTCTAAATGTGCATATAAATCCACGCTCTTGTCGGCTTTGTCTAGACACCCTTTCTTTAGGATCTACACTTTCCTGGGTCACCGAAGTTCACGCTTCAAAGGAAACGTCAACAAGGTGTTGAGAAAAAGTATCGTTATTGAATGTGGTGGTGTTTAAAAATCTACATCACAATATCTAATGTGGGAGTCAACTTTCCAAGCTCACCCCCTACCCCCAAAGTTAGGTTTAACTTGGTGGGAAGCTCACTGAAGTTGCCAGAAAGGCTGAATTGTCCCTTGTAAAGATTTACTGGCCTGTTCAATTTGTTCAGGGCCATTAAACAGTCTGGGTCTCTCCAATGTGGGGTAGACCACACTGGTTAGTCCCTCTCAGAAGGATTTTGGCATTTCTGGAAGGAGCAGGTATGACTATGAGGTTCTGACTGTTTGTCTTTTCTGTCTTGTATAATTGTTGCAAGGTAGCTGTTGACATAGATGTACACATTTGTGTTAACATTGTCATTGCTGGTTGCTCATTCATGATATTTGTGTAAGAATTTCTTACACAAATATCATGAATGAACAACCAGACTAAGAATTATGGTACAGGTATTTGAACTATAAGTCTTACTTAAAGTTTAGGGTTTGTCTCAGCTGTGCTTTTTTTTTTCATTTTTACTATTGTCTTTTTATGATATGTTGCCAATGCTTGGAATTTTCTATGTACTCAGAATGTCTGGTTGATAGTCAAGTTTTTATCTATATAGAAGTAACTCAACTTTGAAAGGATTGCGGGCTATCAGCTCTGTCAAAAAAGCAGTTCAGTTTTTTACATCAAATATTTCTGCAATATTACTGCACTATGTATGATTTACGTAATAGCTATTATATCTAAATATATGCCATTTGTGTCCTTGCAGATTGATACAGAAGAGGAAAACACTTGCAATCCGTCATGAACGACCGGCAGACGTCGTCCAATGTGCCGACCACCCAGCAGCCTCCTGCTGCCCACCAGTCTCACAGCGCCCCCTCTCTGGCCTCCCAGGTACAGCAGGTTCCAGCGGCTCTCTTCCCAGACAGACAGGTCTTTCTCTCTCTCTCTCTCTGTCTTTCTCACTGTGTCTTTCCTCCTAGCTCTGTCACTTTTGATTCCCTCTTCTATGTTTCTCTCAGAATATCAGTATTTCTTTTAGATTATTCTATAAACTTAAGCTATGGCAGTTGAGTCATGTAGTACGATAAAGAATGATGTACTATGATTTTAGCTGCTTAGATCTTTTTCAATGTACAAATGCACGTTTCCTCTGGTCCCAGTTTAAAGCCCAAAGCGTTATCCTATTGTTGTCTCTGTTCATCCACTCTCTTCTTATTCACCAAAAGCTGGTCCCATGTGCTTACTTCTTGCTTTCTGCCCTTGTGTGCTGTATTGCATCCTTCTTCTCTTGTTGCTTTTTCAAATTGGTCAGCTTCACATCTATGGTAGTGTTTTTTCCCCCCTCTTTTTTTGGTCAGTTTATCCTTTTCTGGTTTGTTCTATTCACCTACGTACAAATTTCCCCTACTCGCAGGTGCAGGTTATCCAGCAGGCGCTGCACCGTGGAGGCCAGCCTGTGACCAGTGTGAGCGCTGCGCAGTACTCGGCCCTGCAGCAGATGTACATGCAGCAGCAGCTCCTGCTGCAGAACATGGCAGCACAGCAGCAGGCACTGGGCTCATCTGCCGTGGGGCAGCACGGGCTCTCACTCACACAGGTCTGTAGCAGATATTAGAAATACAGAGATGATATGGTAGTACATGTGTATTATGGCTTCTGGTGAAATTCCATGTTAGTTCATGTGGCATAAAGGCTATTTTGGTTCTTTGGGTCTGAGTCTATGCCACAGATATTGATTGCTTGATTGATGTGATAATTTTTTTCATGTTGTGAAGTTTATAACCTATTAGTAATACTGTATGTCATGTATGGCTGATGATAACTTTGATACTATAACTTCTGTGGAGCATTTTGCCAGTTTACAAATCAATAGGCATGGTTTTCCTGCTGTGTAGACTGAACACAGGTACACCAGGCCATTAGCATATTTGTGTATACTGTTTTACTGGTATATAACACTAACAGTGAGAGTCATGTATTGTTCCAGGCAAATCGGCAGGTGCTGTCCACACAGTCAGGTACGGTGACATCCCAGGCACAGCTGCTCACCACACCTGCAGCCCTGCAGCTGCTGGGCCCACGCATGGCTGCGGCGGCTGGCGCAGGTGGCCTGAGCCTGTCGCAACCGCTGCAGCTGGTGGGGCAGGCGGGGCAGCCACTGTATACCACCTGCACACCGCAGCAGCTGCACAGCGTGCTGTTACAGGCACAGCAGGCACAGAGCGCTGCGGCTTCACAGCAGGTCAGTCAGAAGTACATACCAATAGGCACCTTCATTTTTTTTTATTTCCACGATTTGAGTTCGCCTTTTTCATATAATGTCATTGACCAAACATTCCAATCCAAAGCTACCCTGTGTCAAGAAAGAAAGAGAAGCATACTGTCTACGCTGAGGTTGGTGGGGAAGATTGTGACCTTTCTATCATGCTCTGTTTTCTGTCGTTGGTGGGGAGTAGTGACAGAAAATGGGGAACATGATGGAAAAGTCACAATCTTTCCATACCAACCTCTGCTTGGAAAGATTTTCCAACCATTATTGTTGTACTGTACTGTATACTGTAAATCACTTTAAATTCGCGGTAGCCAACTTTCTTGGTCTGAGAAAAATAGACATGGTCACCAAACTTTAAATTTGCGGTGGTGGCAAGTGAAAAAGAAAGTTGGTGAATGATTTGTTTGCGATAATGATAAATTCGCGGTACAGAAGTGGTCGTGAATTTAAAAGTACTGCTAATATAAAGTGATTTACAGTACTTACTTCACAGCTTTATCAGGACCATAATAAACAAGAAAATCTACATGTAGATAGTATCAATAGGAAATATAGCCATCAGCATTACACCCTTTACATACTGTATTCAGGCCAACTTATAAGTATGGCTGTATACATGCTCAGGCGTAGGTAAAAATTGTTGTGTTTCCTGTTTCCTAACCAATCCCTACCTACCGACCCTAATTTTTTTCAGGACTAAAACAGGAAACACAACATTTTTTTCCTAGGCCTCAGTGGTGTCTTAGAATGCGACAGGAAGAGGGGTTAAAAAGTGCTCAAGGACAGGAAGTCCCTCTAAGTGGATGGACATGAGTAGATTAGAGACACTTGAAAACAAAACAAACTCAAAACAACGTGTGTCCATGACGTAACAGGATATACAACCTCAGGTATTGATCTTGTGAGGTGTTAAATGTTTTATATGCAAACTCCACCCTCCAATGCCATAGTGCCTTATCTAGTACAGGAAGTGTGCCTGATAACCTATAACACAGTTTGGTGTACATGTTGCACAGTGGCTGTGCCGTCTTCATTTAACCAAGCTCTCCTTCACATTGTCTACATGACTGAGGTGAACTTGTATTTGTAACAACACTGCATGTCTTGTGCCAAGGTGTAGAAGACACAGGGCTATTGTTCATTATGCAGTGTAGTGTGCTCCAGTGAACGCATTGGCGTGACCTTTTAGGCACGCACCTTTCACTTTGAAAGCCAGCTAAGCTGCATCAGGACTGTTTGTAATACCTTTAACTTGTATCTAACTATGCAGTTCACAGTTTCAGTAGTGTGTAGGAGGAATGGAGTTCTACGCCTTGTTAGAATGTGAATTTGAACCTGAAGTTTGATGTTTTTATCGTACTGCTAAGCTGCTTCAGGACTATACCAGCTAAGCTGCATCAGGACTGTTTGTAATACCTTTAACTTGTATCTAACTATGCAGTTGACAGATTCAGTAGTATGTAGAAGTTTTAAACCTTGTTAGAATGTGATTTTGAGCCATTTGACTGATGTTTTCTCCACCTGCCCCCCTCCCCAGGCCCAGCAGGCAGCGACTGCGCAGCTACAGAAGCAGGCGGCTGCATCCATGGCGCAGCAGCAGGCAGGTGCACAGCTGGCGCTGGGGCCGGCGACTTCAGCTGGCTCAACCGGGTCCTCCTCAACTCCACCTGCTCTCCTCTCACAGGTTAGGCCTGGCGTCTGTTTATCAATTTCTCATATAAATATTTCTCCCAATAGGTCACTGATATTTATCAAAGATAACTACTTACTTTGAACATGACACATTGGCCAAATATGTAGAATAAGATCTTGCATGATTTTACTTTCACAGCTATGCAAATGTAGCAATTTTTACTAAGTAACATGCTTTATTGGTGATAATCCTCAAACAGAAATGTGCCTAATAAGACAACTGTAACTTGCATGCGTATATAGTTTTATCTAAATATTATCTAGTTATGATTGATTTCATTGCATTACTTTTCAATGTAAGAAAGTTTGTTTGGTTTTGTCAATTCTAGATAGACTATACAACTACAAGTGAAACTGGAAATGTTACCATGTTATAAACTCCCTGGCACGTTTGATCAATTGCTGACATCACGCACGTATCTATACATTGTGTGAATAAGGTCATGTGTCTATAACTGTAACTCTCAGGAGATTACCTTTTAAAGTGATTGGTCATTAATTATCCTGATGAAGGTGACAGTGGTTGTTGAAAATTTGATCTCTGTGTAATCCTTGTGTTGGAATAAAGTTTATCATTTTACTATGATGTTTACCAACACAGATGAACTTGCATGATAATGTTTTTGTTGTTTTACCTCAGCTCCCATCCCGTGGCCAGGGCTCTGTGCAGGCCCTTCCCCTCAGGGGGCCCCCAGTTCCACCTGCCTCCTCCAACCAATCAAAACCCTCCCAGTCCAAACAGCTGGACCAATCAGAGAAGAGGGTATCGACCTCTCCCAAGAAAACAGACTCCTCTACAGTTGAAAAGTCAAAGAGCCAATCATCACATCCCGTACCACAGGCCATTGCTATTGGTCAGCCGTCTTCAGCAAAGGTTGGTGTTGACGTTTTTCTTTAATATTTCCTTTCATATTCTTTGTGTTAGTCTACCTGTGCTCTTTATTTATTTTATTATCAAGATCTTTGACCTTGTGTTTTCTTAGTTTTTGTATTTCAGTTTGAAACAATTATTTTCTAATATTTTCCTCTTCTAAGACTAAATAAAAACTTTCAGGAGAGGTACTATGTGTTGTCATCATAAAGCTTGTTTTTCTTTCCTTGACCATTTTTTTGTGTCTATTTGTCAATGTTTCTCCCGTGTGTAGATGCATTATGTAGCAGTGACAGCAAATGAACTAAATTCTGTCCACAAAAATCTTCTAGAGATCAATCCATTTCTTTTCTCCATTTACTTTCTTACTAAAAAAATGTGTTTTTGCATTAAGAGATAGGCATTCCCTTTCTAAACGTTGGAAAATGATTCTAGATGCTAGGTTGGTGGTGTTGGATGGACAGGATTTAGCCCCGTGTTCCTTGTTTTAAAAGGCTGTGCCTGTGCAGTATCCCCCAACAAAGCAGACTGCCCCCGCCCCTCCGGTCTCCAAACTGGAGGCTCACTCAAGTCTACACCTACTGGCCTCTCATGCCCATCACGTCAGTTCTCGCTCCCCAACACATGACAGGGGCACCTCTGCAATGTCTCCTCCATTCAGACATGCTGCCCAGGTGAATAAATCATTAGAAGTATCACCAAATAAGACTTAGCTTGCAAACAACACACAGAGCCCAACCAGAGGAGGTGTCAATCACGTTAATAATTAAAGATTTTCTGTAAGTTTGATAAGGTTTGAATGTTATCATCTTTCCTATCCAAAGTTTGAAGTAAAATTGGAAACGGTGTATTGCTGTCCTTTGATAAAACATTAACTGCTGAGAGGCATGTTCTTAATTGGGGAGTTGTAGATTGCCAACTATTATTTTTTAATTATAAACTGTAATGATACATCACGTAATTTGATTAATAAAGAGATGTAACTACAATCATAATAGCAGATTTGTTTTGCATGATTGACGTCAAATGTTACCTAAAAGCCAGACAATCTTAAAAAAAACAATCCTTGTCCCTTTGTGTACCTTCAAAAAACCTGTAGTGGCCAAATGGTAGTAGGAAGGGTTCCGATGGTCTCCCTTCTCTTCCAAAGCCTGCAGCTGATCAGCAGAAAACAGCCCTGTCTAGACCCCCTGCCCCCAAGCCGGAGGGCTACCACTCGTACATGGGCTCGCGAGGTCAGGACACTACCTCTCCCACCACGCCCACCACTGTCCCATCTCCGACTTTCCTCCAGCATAGTCAGAGACCACACTCCAGGCCGACTCAGCCTGTACAGGTGAACTCACCTTTTGCCATACTTCTGCATGAGCCACTAAGGTACCGACCGGGTGGCATGTGGTCAGCATGACTGTTTAAGCAGGAGTTTGTGTTCAAATCTGTAGCTGTTGTTGGGTTTTTACATACACTTACACGTCTCGACTGAGTGATTCTTTTAAAAAATAATGGTTCTTTAACCTTCTCTGTGCTAAGGATACATAAATGCACCAAAATCCCTATTGGTTATCGCAAATGTTTGTGTGGAGAGGGTTAAGTTCTGTAGCTAGTTTGTAGCTAGATGTCTAAGCTACATGTATAGGTAGGTAGTAGTAGTAGTACAGAAGATATAAGGAATTAGATTGCCGTTGTTTCCTCTAAAGGCTGTACCAGCCCTGCAAACATCGCCTAAGCCAACCGCTCCCTCCCCTCCCATCACAAAAATGGAGGCCCAACACATACCGCACCACGTGCCCGTGCCGGTGGTCCCGCGGCCCCCGTTACACAGCCGGCCGGCGACCACCCCACCGTCTCCGACCTTTCAACAAAGGCTGCCTACCTCCCCAACGGTCCAGGTGACTGACACACGTCACCATCAGGGCTGGAAATTGGTCCATGTCTGGCACAGTCCAAATTTTACAAACGTTAAACCTGTAACAGGAGCACGTCGGCAGAACGTACTGCACCTGCGCAAAACCTCTATTGTGCATAGCACTTTGGTTGAACGTGTCATATAAGGTCGTATTCCTGCATATTTAACATTCTATCTGTAGTTTTCAAGTGTTGTGTCGGAAAAGATATCGTCTGCAACAGGGAAATTCTGATGCAAAATTCACCAAACATCCAACGTAATCCGTGAAAAATCAGGGTTTTGCGCAGGCGCAGTACGTTCTGCTGACATGCTTGTAAAAGGTTTCTTGAAAACTGTTGTGGTGCTGTTGTGCCTGCAAAATTTTTAGCCCTGATGTTCATGAATACACTGGTCCAACACATACTAGGAGGGAAACATGGTGGTAAAGGCACTTCAGCAAAGGCTAAGTCTTAGGCTGTCACACTGTTTTTTCTAAAGAACTTCTTTCTTTGGCATAAAGCTTAAGGCTTGCAACTCACCTCTGGCTGCACTGGAAACTTAATCCTAAGCCATAAAGATTTCTAATCTTAAGATTTGCTTTGCTATAATGGAGGAAATAACACATCTTCCTTAGTCTGCGCTACTGGTAGAACATACAACTGACACAGGCACTGCTTTTATACCTTCATGCGATATGTACTAGCGCAATATGTATTCTTATAGTAATACTCTTGAGCTGGTGATAGTTTAACAACAGATATGACTTACAAGTGGTTTTGAGGCAGTTACACGTGTGCATGCTAGCGGGTTAGATGGTGGCGTACATGTACGATGGTTCTCCTGTGTGACTGTTGTCTCCTCACACAGTCGATGGGGATCCAGCTGGGGGCCTCCAGTCTGGGAAGCCCACCGCCCCCAGAGGCAAAAACTGGACATATCCACCACGTCCACCCCCATGTGCAGCCTCCGGTGCAGCAGCCGCCCCAGCCGGTGCAGGCACACAACCCGCAGGGGCACGCCATCCAGGCGGCGCACGTCCCGCCGACCCACGTACAGGCGGCGCACGTCCAGCCAACTCATGTCCAGCCCCTGTCCCAACCACTCCCCCTCGCTCTGGCCACGCACAAACCCGTCCAGACCGCCCCTCCCCTGCCTCAGCAGCCTACCGGCGGCCCTCCACCCGTCGCACAGGTGAAACTCTGCTGAAATGCTTTCTCTGATTGGCTGTAGCACTGAAAGTGTTGCCTCTTTGCTTCGCACTGCTTGCTCTCCCCTGCATACTGATATAAACTGCAGCTTGCTTTGTGCTTCATTTCTGTTGCAAGTAGCATGGCAGATAAATGTGTTGACATCTGCATGGATGGTACTTTGGTAGCCATGTGATGTGTTTTGATGCAATGCTTAGATCTCTGCAAAACCCCCTCTGCAATACACATGTAGGATTGCATGCATGCAAAGTGGAACTTGTGCACATTTCCACATAGACTGCATCCCTTCCCCCTAACATTCCCGCATGTCTTGCTGAATGCTCCCTACATCCTGGGTCACACTTTCTGCTGTGTTCCCTGCCTGTACAGTATGTGGCATGTAAGGTGTAATCTACACACTTTACTGTATGTTTTCCCTGCATACAGGATCTGTTGTACACTGTGCACATGGGTTGCAAGTGCTGGTACATTTTTATCCAATACACATCTCTCTGTGTATGTGCATGAATGTGTGGTGTGCTAAAAATCCTTTTGCAGGAAAAACTGCATGTTTATATAGATTTCTGCAGCTGATGTTGCAGATACATCATTCTAGTAGGTACATGTATGCATGAGATGTAGCCCAAACATCATTGTTATAGCCATTGCACATATGGCAAGAATATACTAATCTCCAAGCAGATCTTTTCGTGGCTGCAAACGACAGTATCAAATTGGCCAGGCAGTATCCATTAGCCAGACAGTATCCATTTGCCACCCTTCAGTGGCTAATGCTGGACACTCCTCAGGCCAGTGGATACTAATGCTACCATAATTTATAATCTGCTTGGAGATTATGAATATACCTTTTACACAAAAGTAAAAAATTCAACATGTTTTCTTCCATTGATGGAATGCAGCCCTCAGCCATTCAGCAGCCCGCCAGCCAACCACAGCCCTCTGCCCTGAGCGTGCTGCCGACGTCACAGCCCAGTCAGCGACAGATCCCCACCCCTGGGCCACAGTCGCGGCTGACCCCGCCCCCCGCCCAGCCACAGCGCCCACAGTCACTGCCTCCACCCGTCTCCACGTCAGCCATGATCAGCCAGCAGGCTCCACCCCGCGTGCCGTCGCCAAAACAAAATGGAGTTACAGAGACGGTAAGACCAAGAGTTTTACAGTGTTTGTGTTTGTGCGTGTGTGCATGTTTGTGTGTGTGTGTGCGCACGCGTGTGTCTTTGAGTGTGTTTGTGTCTTTGTGTACTATGTATCCCAGTTCTTAATTGTTCGATCTGTCACATTTCTTATTTGGCTGCATTTGTCAAATTCTACGATTTGTTACAGTATTGAGGAGTTTAACAACAAACATGCATGTGTCAATGTGTAGGGATTCTCCAGAATAAAAAGATAGGTCGTGGCATTTTCTCCATTATGATACTGTCTTCTGAGTTGTGATGATACAGAAGACTTGTGTCATAGACTCGTGTACTAGATAAAGATTTGAAGCCTGGGAAAACTACCAAGGAACAATGGAAAAGACCCTGGCATTTAATGCGTTATTACACATTCATCACGAAACAATACAGCATTCAAACTGATAATCCTAAAGACACTACTCCCAGTTAACTAGCAGATAGGTTAAGGGCTAGTTGTTCTGCAGTATCTCCAAACTGTTTGTTCTGGCCCATTGTTCCAGAACAGCCAGGTTTTGAATAAGAATGGGCCCATCCATTTCCCCACTGGGGACAGGAACATCCTGTATTGTTGAGTTGTCAGAACAGACCCCCCCTTTGTTAATGATGTGACCCACTATTGACTCACCCACTCAGTTTCAGTGCATCATCGAAAGGGGAGGTATCATTTCTCATCCAAGGGATGGATGAAAAATTTGCAACTAATAAGTTTTTTTCTTCACAATCAAAATTTAAGTATTACCCTTATACATCTTTGGCCTGATATGAACTTAAGATGTTTGCAAAATAGCAAGTTAAGAAATTTAGTTTCCCCTTCCTGCAGCAAGATAATTAATGGTCAGTCCCCCAAAGTGAGGAAGGTGAGGCTTGGCTTGCTTGTTGCATATGAGTCTGCTCTTGATCTGTCCTTAAATGTCTTCTTCTAACCTGTTCTGTAAAGTCTAAAGATTGGTAAGGAATTTGAAAAAATCTTCAGTTGCTTCTAAATTCCATATTTTGTAATCTTGCTGATCTTGATAATCTTGCATGTGATTTTATCATCAGTGATGGGTAGATACAAGTTGCCATGAGTGCAGGGTTTCCTTTGCTGTGTTGTATTGTTCTTAGTATCCTTTATAAAAATGCACATGTATTTTCTCTCCTCACATTACCCTCTGGTCCAGTAATGTTTTTTTCATGTTGTTATGGAAGATGGACTTAATATATTTCATGTGCCCCCTCCTCCATTTCATTGGACAGAATGCCACAAATGGTATTCATGAAGAAGAAGAGTGTAACAATTATGTCTGTTCCAGCACCGTTTTTTCTGCCATGGCATAAGTTTACTACATGTATATACCCGTGATACATACATTTACACAAGAAGTATTTTCAGTTGAACTTTCTGATACACTGATGAAGTTCTGTAGCATCATTACTGTTCTACCGTTCCCTATAACAGACTCCAGCTCAGGAGAAAGTCGATGATGCGATGAAGTCCCCGGAGCCCCCAAAGGAAGATCCCATGACCAGTCACAGCAGCGAGTTACCGCTGGCGCTGAACAAACCACCGACGGAGAAACAGCAGCCACAGCGAGCAGTCGTCAAACCACAGATCCTCACACACCTCATAGATGGCTTCATTATACAGGAGGGACCACAACCCTTCCCTGTGAGTTTTATCTTTATTCTGAAAAGTACTGTATCTGTTTTGTTATTTTGGGGTAATTTTTCAAAGGGCTGACACAGTCAAAAATGGCAGCAGAAACATCTCACCATCAATTCAGCAAGGAGAAGTGTTCTTGTAGTACGTATTGTTGTAAGAATTAGATTCTATTTGGGTGGAGGGTGAAAATATCAAATCAGTGTGAGTGCTCATATTGTATGTTAAATTAGGGTTTAGATTTGAATTCATCACAGCCACAACTGGTACAGTAACTGAGATATTGAATAGAATAGAAGGGAATATCTACAAATTTGATATATCTGGTGTATGTAAAATACTTTCCCAAATACCTTTTGTTATTCATCTGTTTTGTTCGAATTCCAACTTTGCTGATTAACAGCATTCATGTAGATGTCTATGAAAAAAAAATTCAGTACTACATAACTGAAAGGATTATATATTTATGGCCATTCTCATGATAAACACCGTGTCTATTGTCCCAGATCAAGCACAACTCTATCCTGGTGGAGTCCCGCCGTCCTCAGGCCGGCTCAGCGAAGGACCAGCCAGAGGCAGGCCCCAGTAGTGAGAATGGCAGCACACTGCTTATACAGTCCCCAGGTCTGTCTGTAACTGCACAGCTCAACAGTACAACACCATGTTTTGTGTTATATGGGATTTTGGTTATCCAAAATGATAGCAATAATTTTCTATTGACACTTAAGCCACACCAATTTGATTTCTTGGTGAACGGATTTTTCTAGAATAATAATGGAGCGGGCGGGCGAAAAAAATAAAAAATAAAAACAGGCCTAGGCCATTATGGCCCAAAATGGTACGATAGGAGCCATGAAGTCAACACACCAGACTGGTTCAAAATTTAAACAATGAATTTTGAACTTTTAACCCTTGTCCTGCTGGCAATTTTTACACCATATTTTCAAATAATTTCATGTCTTAATCAGGTTACAGACCCTTGATTTTTTTTGCCCTGCGGCGGCGTAGTTACTTCCGCATTCGTTGCGTTTCGCTGCGGTGTGATGCGTTGCACGAGAAACACCCCCAAATCGCACATATACAGGGCACTATATAGATGGTACTGTATGTACAACCCATATATATATGGGCCCCGCAGGACAAGGGTTAATAATACCACTGTAATGAAAGATGGAATAACTGTAACAACTAGGAAGAAAAGGACTGTTTTCAACTGTTCAGGGCATAATATGAGCATTTTTCAGTTGATTCTGAATTTTTATTGTTATTTTCAAATCAGAAAAAAACGAAGCGGGCGAACCCGTTAACCAAGAAATTAAATTGGTGTGGCCTTAATGAAATAATTATGTTAAGACCCTTTCTGATACTCTCAGTGGCATGCGCTTTTCAGTAGATGAGCCATATAACATCCCAAAACACAAAATGCGTAATTATATTCCATTCTACATGTAAACTATATGCACATGCAACAGTATTTTTCAGTGTACACTGTGGCTAACAACTTACATTAAGAAAATTTTTGTCCCCCCCTTCTTAAGATGGCAAGCAACCTGCCAAGAAGCCCAAGAAGCCGCAGGACAAAACTCTGTTAAAGTGTGAGTTCTGTGGCAAGGTGGATTACCAGTACAGGTTCCGTGGATCCAAAAGGTGGTTAATTTTCTATACAAAAAGGTACTTGTTCATGTTATGCACCTATCAATGTCTGCCATGGGGAGGGGTTTGGGCTCTTGCTGTGTGGTGAAATTATCATAATTTGTCATGGTCAGCTTTTGAGAATGAATGTTGCATAACAGTTGCTGTGTTTTTTTGTGAAGCATTCATCTGCTATTTACTACCCTGCTATGCCCACCTCCCCCTTTGGTTAACATTGACATGTGCATAACATGCCTAACAGTGGGACTACCCAGTACCATCTAGTTGTTGTCAAGTTTTTTTTGCTTACCTTAGTTTGCTCTGCATGTGTTTATCACCATTAAAAGCCATTCAACTCACAGCATGAATATGATAAATTCTTCTTTATGATAGTTGAATTTTCAGTTACGTAGTCAGTTTTTGCATGCAGATTGCAAGTATAGTAGGTATGTTATTAAATTTCCCGCATGGTATAAAAGAGACCCTGTAACTTAGCAAAATGTACTTTGTATAACAGAGCTTTAAGCCCAAAACTTCTTTAACATTGACTGATTGAGAACACTTCAAGTTGACACAGTTCCATTGACTAAGTTGCAGCTGTATCCAAATGGCTTTGTAGATGTCACAAGTATAAATGTTTCCTTGGTTAACTAATGCAGCCACTTATCGAAACAAAAAAACAAGGCCACGCCATGCCTGTACTTCAAAAGTCAAGTGCATGAGGAGTGCAACACTTAAGGTTGTTAAGGTGTGCTGCATGAATTGGTAGTTCGCCTGTGAGTAAATTGTGCCACTACAGAAATAGAACCTCATTTTATATTTGGGGAAGTTTGCTGAATTTGCATTGGTGAAATTAAGAAAGAAACATAACTAATTTACCAATGTCTTACCTCTGTAGCCTTGCACTAGCCTATATTAGGCTTGGGGAAGCGGCTGGAAAGAGTAGAAATTGACCAAATAGATAGATGATATTCTAGGAGAGTTGGCAAAAAACTGTTCTCTCAGTGCAGACCAACTCCCCTGGCATATCATCTGTCTATTTGGCCAATTTCTACTCTTTCCAGCCGCTTCCCGAAGACTGGTAGAGGCTAGGCTACCAGTTCTCATCATTCAATTAACCTTCTCCATACTCACATATCCAATGGCCTTTCCATTGCTTACAGCAAACATGAGAAGGTTTAAATACTGGCAGTTTTTAAAGAGTGTGCCCAGTTCCTCCTGTGTGTTACTCAAGCTTGTGTTTGTTTTGCTATCCAAGCGGCCACCAATCAGGACGTGGATCCAGCTCGGGCCTCAGGTTCGCAGCAGCATCCTGAGCAGTGTTCAAAATTTGCATCGCTGTGTCACCTCATGATCATAGATCTCTCACCAGCATGCACTGGGCACTATAGGTGGCATGGACGGTCACAGAATGCAGTACAATGTACATCTTTTTGTGGGAAAAATTGGGCTTATACATGAATGCATCATTTAAAGAGTTTCAGTTGATGTGATATGAAAATGCAGTACTCTGCTAAGTAGGACAGCCACATTGCACCAGTACTGTTTTGGATATATGCTTGTTCTAAGTTCTAAACACTGTTCACAAGAGAGAGAGAGAGAGAGAGAGAGAACACCCTGGTACCAAACTAGGGTAAAAGAATTTTGAACACTGATCCTGACTCGGTGTTGTCAGTGGTTGGCACAGATTTTCTCCTGATTTTCAGAATTCTCTGCTTCAGTGGAACTGCCTGGTACTCCTTTCTGATTCACTTTTAACTTGAATCAGTTCCTGATGTTCTGTAACATCCACCATTAAGCATCAGATAACTGCATCATCTACCCACACTGTTTTTCTTTTTTGCTTTCATCATTCTTTCCAACACACAAACAAAAAAGTTCCTTGTAACAATCACGTGGATAAGTCAACAATGATGGCACAAATATGATTATGCAATCAAACCAAATTCTAAAATTTGAGTTAAAAGTGGATCACATCAAATATTAGTTGGTTCCACACATCGCCACAGTAGGCGGGTATGTTTATTGTCTGACTTGTGGGGTGTTGCTGTGTTGGTAGGTTCTGCTCCATGGCCTGTGCCAAGCGCTACAACGTTGGCTGCACCAAGCGGCTCGGCCTGTTCACGCCCAAACAGCCCAGCAGATACATCTCCAAGAAGAAGCGAGAGCGGAAATCGTCCTCGCGAAAGTCCCCGTCAGGGAGCGAAGTGTCGCCTTCGAGATTGTACAGCACTTCTATGGTAAGTTACATTCCTGTCAGCTGCATGAGATTTTGTTACACTCAATGATTAGATGTCAAAACAATGCATAATGTGTAATTCATGTCTTTTTCGTAATGAAAACAAGTATGTGCATGCATTTTATAGACTTTGTAAGTGTGTACAACACATAAGTCTTTCTCAAGTGAATCCATAATGATTTTTATTAACAAAAGTATGTTTCAGTACATAGTCTCCTCTAAAAATTGTAGTCAATAGTCATTTAGAGTTCTTAAGTTAATAATTATAGAATATGGCAGGGAAGTAGATCTCATGACTGGTGCGTAAGCTATACAATACATGTACTGTAAATTACTTTATGTTCGCAGTAGCAAAATTTCGCTGAGAAAAATGGACATGTTTGTGAAACTATACATACGGGGTGATGGCAGTTGTTCACAGTTATGATAAGTTTGCAGAAGTGACCGCAAAAACTGTGAATGTAAAAGTACCTTGGAAAAAAAATTGTGATTAACAGTATCAAAATCAACCATTTTTCTGCAGTCCCCAGAAGCGGAGGATGTGCAGATGTCGGAGCCGATGGACTTCAGCCCTCCCCACGAGCAGCTGTCCCCCCGCGCCCCGCTGGCATCACCATCCAGGATCGTGAACCGACACAACAGCTTCGGCAGTACGGACACTGAGCTGGACCTGGGACCTGCCAACCCCAACCCTGCCAGGTGGAGCGTGGAGGAAGTGAGTACAAGTTTTGAAAACAGGAATGTTGGAGATTGTATCAAAATAGCAAGCACTGATTGTTATTATATTATTTTCATTGGCAAGAGGACTTCAACATCAACATTTTGCATGCAAAGGACAGTTTGCACCATTTAAATGGTCTGATGTACAGCATTTGTCTTAAGTTTCATGCCTTTATGGCTTTATCATCATCAGAGCAATTTTTGAACCCATCACCTGAACCAAAGGAGAGTGTAGAGACATCATGAATGTCTCATCTTTGCGTATGTACCTAAGAGGGTTCTTCTCTGTGTCTCCTTCAAAGTTCAATAGACACAGTCAATAAGATACATGTACACGCCTTCTGATTGGTCCATTCTCTTTAGTTATAAGTGTTCTGAGTAGTCAATTCGTGATAGTGCATCTATTGGGTGCTGGAGCCGGCAGGAGATTCAAACTGAGCCACGATTGTGGCCCATCATGCTAGGAAGGTCGGGTGAGTCTGGCAATGTCAGAAATGAACTAGCTTTGCAGAAATGCCCAGTTTTTGCTAGTGTGGCTAAAAGATCCCTTCTCTGTGTCCCCTCCAGGTGTGGGAGTTTATCCGCAGCCTGCCGGGCTGCAGTGACTTTGCGGACGAGTTCCGTGCTCAGGAGATTGACGGGCAGGCCCTGATGCTGCTGAAGGAGGACCACCTCATGAGTGCCATGAACATGAAGCTGGGCCCCGCCCTAAAGATCTGCGCCAGGATCAACTCATTAAAGCAGGATTCCTGAGGACAGTCTGTAGGACTTGTTATCTTTAAAGGCATCCAGTGCAGTTTTTAGGGCTTGGAAACCAGATTTTTCAAAGTCAATACTTTAGTCACTTATCTACATACTAAGTTGAAACACACTGTCCAAATGTATATCAACATTTATGGAGCAAATATGCCTGAAAGTCTGACCAAAAACGGTTACTGGAAGAACCCTAGGCTGATTTTTAGGGTACTACCCAGAAAGCTTTTTTTCTTTGAGCTTGTTTCTGCAGTTTTAAAAGCCCAGTATGAAATACTGATTCAAAATGTGCTAACGTGGGGCAGTATTTGTCAATATCATGCAGATTGCTTTAATATTTCCACTTTTGCCACCCTGAAATTGCATCGGATGCCTTTAAGTTTATGTACAGGAGAATTGGTGCAATGACATACAGAAAACTCTGTAGCCCTATAGAGGAGATATTTGTGTTGAATATTCGTTGCTTTCTCTTGCACTTTCATTCTCCCGTCTAATACCTGTGTCAAAACAACATGAACCTGATGGACTCTATAAGATAGTTTCCTTTCAAAACTTTTTCTCTGTTAGCTTTTATGCTTACTGGGAACAAGTAGAAAGTTTGAGTCCTCTTCATAGCTGACTCCTAGCTTGTACATACCTGCACAATGCCTGTATAGATCAGCAGCTTCTATGTGTTAAACCTTTTGATAGAGTTGTGACGATGTGTTTAAACCTGGTGCTAGAAGTGTTCAGAAGCTGAACAGGGTGGACTAACTGAATCAGTATTATATAGCTCGTTGTGACTGTTGTTGCACTACCTTGTTGTAGTGGATGTACTGGTAATAGCAGCCATGTAGCTGCAACCCCAATTTGAAAGTCCCTAGTAATAGTATGATGTTACCACATGTCAACACCTAGTTGTACCCAATATGGTGTAACATAACTCTTGAAACTGAAATGCACATTGCTCTTTGTTACACGGTTCAAATTTCAGAAATCTGAACACCTTGTAAGAAAAGTGACAGATGATGCCAGATTTTTTTTTCATTGGTTCAGTTTCTACCTAATGTTCAGAGCATGTTTGTGGGATATACTGAAAGAAAAACCAGTCAAATACACATCTGATATGGCAAGTCATACAAGACCACAATCCACAAACATTGATGTTACTTCATGTCTAATTCAGTTTCTCGCAATTGAACAAACTATGCTTTTTATAATTTTCACCTTTTTACCACATAAGCATTGCTTGAATCACAGTGAAGCTTGCTCTACTGTAAGAATGCTTTGTACCCTTGCGTTACACAGTTCAGCTGATGGTCTACTATTACGGAAATATGTGGAAGATATACAGTAAGCATTGCATCTTTCTGTGTCAATAAAATATAGGTAGGAATATTCTTTTGGAGGTCTGTTGAGATACTGAAATCTGCCATAAAACCTGGTTTAAGGTTTAGTACAAGATGGTATTGTAGCTAACTGTACAACATTGTAGAGAATGTCTTTTGTATTTGGGTAGTATATATATTATATATATAGTAGACTATTTATTAGAACAGTGTCATGTATGAAAGACTAAACAACGTACTAAGTATAAATGTATGTGGATACGATGATCATGTTTATAAACGTAGTGTAGTAGAGCCTATATGCAAAGTGTACATGTTATAACATAGTGGTAGTCTATATGTAGTGTCAGTGTATAAATGACAGAAAACGAACATACATGTATGATCAAAAATACCTTCTGAAGTCATACCTCACATTCTGTGGACAGCTGTTTGTACATGTAATAGTCTTGTTGCCCTCTGTTCAACTGTCAGATTTTAACCTAAGTTTTGCTAGGATGATGATGATGATTGCTAGGAGGCTATTTTACCATTTTTCAGGAAAAAGAATGACATAGTGAGGTAAAAAAAAACAATGAGGACACTTTTGAATGTGGTTACAGTGCAGACATAGATGTTCCAGTGGAAAAATGTGGAGATCACTTCTGAATTTAAATGATGCAAATTTAGAGACACGGTATACAATTCTCCCAAACAATTATATTTACAGTTTCTTCACGGTCCTGTGATTTTTGTTTCGGTATTTTTGATTATTTTTTTGTTTGGGCCAGACTACTTTTTTTTTACCTTTTGAACTAAAGGTATACATGTACAGTATGTGACACTCATTTTCGGTTGTCAAAGTATCAGTGACTCATTTGAATAAAGTGAAAATTTGGCAATGGAATTACACAGAGCCAAGTACCAAGTCTACAACCCGTGGGTGGATATGTGTTGTAAGATTTTTACAACTACAATAAACCATAAACTTTGTACTAGTGTAGTCTGTTGTCTTTTGACCTCAAGTATACAGGTATGTACATTTAGTTACATGTAAGTGCGCACACATACTCTCCAAGCAGAGGTTTGGGCCTTGCCTTTTTTTTGGCATGTTTTTAGACTTTTTATTGCCAAAACCCAAACCTCTGCTTGGAGAGTAGTGCACACACACAAAAACAGACGGAGCCATACAGACAAATCATGGAGAGGGAAAGGCCGGAAGAGACAAAGACACACATACATATACACACAAGCAGTGTATGTTACAAGTAGCCTGGTTACCAAACCTATTATAGCTCCCGAGTCCTACATCCTCTATTTGCGGAGAGGATGTAGGACTCGGGAGCTATGATAGGTTTGGTAACCAGGCTATGTTACAAGGGCTTTCCATCATTACATGGAGACACCTGCACACAAGGTCAAATCATAGGTTGCACAAAACATTCTTCTGTATGGTTCTTGTTCTTGAGAAGATACTGTGCAACACCCCTCTGTTGGGGTAAGAGGCACGGGAGGAGTGCGCTGCGTCCTCATTGTTTCCTCAGATGCAGGAGTACGGCTTCCTTGAAGTTGTCAGGTTCTGTGATTTCAGTTATGACCTGAAAAAGCGTGTTCCAATCCCTGACTGTCTGAGGGAAATAGGAGTATCTGTAGCCGTCTTTGTGAAACGGTAGAGCCTTGTAGGAATTTGGGTTGGAGTGTTGCGATTGATGCAGTGCAGGCATAAGATGAGTTTTGACCGGTACACGTACTTTGTGTTGCCTTGCTTTGTGTGATATGCGCATGGTCACAGCTGAAGCTCACTTTGAGACAAATGAGATTGTCGCGTGAGCATTTAATATTCGATTTCCGGAGCAGTTCTTTCCCGTCCGCGCATCTTCGGCAGATAGTCGTCCTTCTTCAACATGGCGTCATAGTCGTACTCAGGGTCCCGCCTCTCCTGCGCAGTCTCGTACTCAGCGTCACGCCTCTCGTACCCAGGATCGTCCCTGTCGTAGTCACCCCTGTCGTAGTCGCGGTCGTCCCTGCTGTCGTACTCGCGGTCGTGGTCGCCGTCCCTGTCGTCGTACTGACGATCCCTGTCGTAGTCGTGCCCATTCCTGTCGTATTGGTCGTCCTTGTCGTACGAACGACCGTCTCTGTCGTAGTCGCGCCTGTCATAGTCGCGGTCGTCCCTGTCATAGTCGCGGTCGTGCCGCCTTGTGTCGTAGTCGGGATCGTTCGGTTGTGACTCGTATTCACGATCGCGGTCGAAGTCGTGAGTAGTCGGCGCCTTGGCGTTTGACTCGTACCCGCTAGAACCACTGCTGCCCCGGCCCGACTCGTCCTTAACTCGTCCTTCCTGACGCTCTTTTAACTCTTTGGTCTTCAGTGCCTTCTTGGTCAGCTGATTCTGTAGTAAAACATACACCGTTCAGAATTATGTGTACGTGTGGTAGGTATCATCAAAGGAATGTTACATGACAGGCGTGTTCACAACATCGATTATAGAAAGCATTACTGATCAACTGTCCTACCACTATTTAACACTTTAAGCAACTTTTAATTGATGTCAAAGACAGTCACTGTTACACATGTAGTATTTTTTTTTTGTAAATTACCCTCGATCGTAATTGTTCTTAGAATGTTTAATGTTGAACAAGCAAATGTTAACATTGTATTGTAACGATGACAACTGCAAATGTATAAGCATTCTACAGACTGATACCTCTGTAAATAGCCTCGCAATTCAGCCCTGCACGGCTACCAGGCACGTATTTCTTTTGCTAAGATCTAATAAACCAGTCTACTAGTACTACTACTGTTTCCAGTACCTGACAAATCGCCTTTGTATCCTGATGCCCGTAGCCCATCGCGATAAGTGCGGCCACTAGTGACTTCATGGTCGCCTTGTCGGTATTCCGCGCCTTCCACTCGTACAACATCGCACGACTTCGGTTCTTTTCGTCGGAGTAGTCGTGACGAAGGTGCTCGACGGTTGTCCGAGACATGCCTAGAGTCTTGGCAACGTCCGGCCAGAAGTCCTCAACATTTGAAGCGATGACGTCGAGCTGGTAGTTTGAGAGAGGCTTCTCTTTCCGTTTTGGAAGTTCTGAATCGAAAAAGTAAAAGAACCAAGAGTGAGATATTACAAAACGGAATCTATTGCATAGCTATTGTGTCCAACGTATGTATAATATCACAAGAAGTCAGAAAAATGATCGTAACAGTCAGAAGAATGATCGTAACACTATCTACACTTAAGGTCTTAAGGCCTACCTCTAAAGATGTCCAGTAGCTGAGTGTGCTCCTGTTCCAGTTGTTCTGCTCGTTTCTCCTTCTCCTTAAGTTCCTTGAGAATGGTATCAGCGCGTTCCTGCGCTTGGAACAACCTACAGAATCACAACTCCTTTAGCCAGGCATACATGCACGTGTGTTGTTGCGTAACAGGATTTTAACACGTTAGTCATACACAATGACATTATCTGTTGAGAGAGATGCTTGTTTTCAATTCCTATGTAAACAACTATAGCGTGAAATAAGCTTTCAACACCTGGACTTAAAGATTGAATAGTGTGATAAGAGAAAGTGAATAAGAACGAACTTTTCCTCCATGTTCTGTGTCTTCTTCTCGTTGATACTGAGTTTGTCTTGTAGCTTCTTCAGTTCCTCCTTAGCCTTGAAGAGCTCTTTCTCCGTGAACTGACCGTGCTCCTTGGTCTTATCCAACTGACTTTCCATAGCCCTGTCAAAGGAAAAAAAACCTTACTAATTTTGTCTCCCTTTTGTATGTTTCAAAAATGTTACTTTCCAAATATACTATGAGGTAAAGTTTCTTACCCACAATTGACTGTCGTTCTAGATATAGATCACTGATTTGTATAGAAAAATCTCCCGAATAATGATTACGGAAAACCCTTGCAGACCCACACCACAACCACG